AAATACTTCAACGAAATTTGAAATATTCCTGTCGTGTTCAAAAATAGGTTGAATATGATCCACAATATCCGTAACTGACAATCCCACGTTTGTATTTTGAGCCTGGTGGCTGTATTTTTCGTTACACTCTGGCAAGCGCTCGAAAAAGGCCCAGCGGAGACCACGTGACATCAAACGCAATAGTGATGTAGGTCGTCTCGTGAAGAGCAAAGCTACGGCGAGTCTGACGTCGAGAGAATGGCCTAGTCGTTCCAGCTACCGAAGCGGCTGTTTTTGTACGAATTTCGAGTGACGGGTTAATCTTCTATAATCATGTAGTTGGACAATAGCGACTTCTGCGACACACAAAAGGCATTCTCGGGAAGAGGCGAGTTCCTCCTTCCCCTCTTCTCTGGTCGTGGCCGGAGGTGAGACACTCACCGTCACTAGCTGCCAAGGTTCCTAGACGAGCATTACAAACGAGGCGTTAGCGACATCCACCAGGTGCTCTTTGCTAATCATTTAATTCGTTTTAAAATTTATTTTCGAGACTTTTTTAAAAAGATATTGGTATGATCGATGTGATAATGCTCCTTTGAACACACATAGACCAAAAAACGAGCGCCGAAATTTCATTGTAGTATCCCTTAAAATCAAATCGCGAACACGAACAGCGTGAATCCTACTTAATTTACCGATTCAACGCTATTAAACAAGGAACCAATGAAAGCCCCGGTACTCTGGCATCACTTAAAATGCTAACAGACGATGAGCAACAGCGATCAGGGGACGTTTTATCAGGTCCCAGACCTTGGGCCCTAATCTGGACACTTGGCGGAAAAGTCGGCGAGAAATTCGGCGGCTATGATTGGCCGGCGCCAAGGTCAAGTGTGGCGTTGGCCAATGGCGGCTGCCAGATTTCTCGCCGTCGTTTTCGCCAAGCGTCCAGCCTATGGCCCCTGGAAGGGAACAATGTTAAACCTAGAAATGAAAAGTAAGGAAACGAATATCACAACCTGGAAATAAAAGAGAAAAGTTGATGATCCAGTTCCGGCCACAAGCACAGTACCACTGCTAACAATAAGGTCTGACTCATGCATGCCCCACAAAGCAACACAAATGACCCTGCTGTTTTATTTTTTTTATTTTGAGACAGCATTTTAGTTGGCGCGCATAACTGTCGTCTATTGTACGCTATCGTCCAGGTCATCCCTGCACGCCCGGACACAAAGTCACCCTGCGCCCCCTCTTAAGAAGCTAAAACCGTCATCCCACTGTCCTTGAAACTTGGCCCTTACCGGCAAGCTTCTTCCCCTGGACACGAACTGCCCTACGCTTCCCTCTCACGAAAGCTCCAAGCGTCACCCCGCCGAAATTCGGACCCGACCGTAGCATTGTAAAAACGTTTGCCCATCTGGAACTCTTCCTACGCTTCTTTGGAAACTCGAACCGTCATCCCGCCGTTCTTAAAACTTGAACTCGACCGTTGCATTTTATAAATACCACCCGCGTCCATCTTCTGTAAAAATTCTTCCTGACGAAGGCCGGACTCCGGCCAAAACGTCGAAGAATAAGATATATATATATATATATATATATATATATATATATATATATATATATATATAAGTCAGAGATCCGTACTTGCGGAGTTGCTATGCTAGGAGTTTATTGCATGTATTTCGACAGTTTCGCCAGAGGCTCGGCTTCGTCAGGAGATGGCATACATGTGAGGGCATCAGACTGTGCAAAGCAGTAAGGGGCCAATGGGGCGAGGAGGACGTGAAGTCACAAAAAATAAAAGTAAAAAGATATAAAAAAAAAAAGAAGAAAAAAGTTGTATTTGAGCGCGTTCCCACGTTAGGGCGGCGGGTTTCAAAGCTAAAGAGGCGTATATGAAATCTCCGACACTGCGGTGGGTACAATAGGTCATAAACGGACGGCACTGGCTCTGGAACGACATCTTCGGTACTAATTGTCCGTAAGGCTAAGCCGATGTGGGCGTCCGTCTCCGCGACGGTCACCCCTCGTCCCCTCGGGCGCCGCTCGCCGCGGAAGAGAGGGGAGAGGGGAGCAAGGAGCAGATCGCGGGGCAGGGGGGGCGCAGAGGAGGGTGGGGCGAATACCCCCGGATAGTTGCAAAGCCGTCGTCGTACCGGACAGAGAATTAAAAATGCAAATTTAAAAGATAAAACATTAAAGTAAACCTTAAGATAAATACAAATAAATACGCATGCCTCGGGTCAAGACCGAGTAACATTGTGTGCAGCAGGACAGCATAGCGCGGAAGGCGCAGGTTTCCTTCGCCTTTCAATGAAAAGAAATGAAAATTGAATATTAGCGGATCTCGCATATGAGTGGGTAGACCAACGAAAAAGGACGCAATGTGCACAGAAGCGCGCGTGGAAGGCTCGCTGTTTCGCACACACACACATACACAAACAAAATAATAGTCCAATTCCACCAGCTAATGCAGTGCCACTTGGTCAGGGTGAGAATGGTGATCCCTGTTAATTCTTAGACAACGTTTTAATCGCTGCAAGTGTCCCTGGATTTTCATTTATTCCTTTATCGATCGTGTTGAATCGGTATCGGAGATTTCATATACGCCTCTTTAGCTTTGAAACCCGCCGCCCTAACGTGGGAACGCGCTCAAATACAACTTTTTTTTTATATCTTTTTACTTTTATTTTTTGTGACTTCACGTCCTCCTCGCCCCATTGGCCCCTTACTGCTTTGCACAGTCTGATGCCCTCACATGTATGCCATCTCCTGACGAAGCCGAGCCTCTCGGCGAAACTGTCGAAATACATGCAATAAACTCCTAGCATAGCAACTCCGCAAGTACGGATCTCTTATTACATTTTCCCGGTCCATTGTTCTCAAGCTACTCTGCCTCACCTATATATATATATATATATAGCAGTGTGTCGAACCGAAAAAAATACGGGTTCGGTTACGGTTCAGGTTCAGGTAAATTTATTTTGTTCCGGTTCAGTTCCGGTTCGATTAATTCGATCCGCGAACCGGTTCGGGGCGCTGAACCGGTTTCCGAACCGGTTCGGAAATTATAAATGACAAATTGCAACATCAAAATAAATTACAAACAAAACATCTGAAATCAGTACATACGAAACGGGATACATCGTAGTGTAAGGCTCAGGGATTTCTACCAGGAATGGTTTCTTTATGTGCGCTCAAAGGTTACCTCACCGACGTTTACGCATTCGGACTTCATCTAATTGGGTTCGACGCAGTAGCTGTAAAATCCGCGACCTCCTTACAAACCCACTTACAAGTAGAACTCGCTAACTATCCCGCCACCTCGGCGTGTAAGCAACTGAAGGATGAGTGGGGAGAAAATACAGCTTTCTTTATTTGATGTAGCCTTCGGTAACTCAAATTAGACCCTTAAAGAAGTTTTCATTAAACAAGATACGGAATATGAAAAACACTTCACCGAACGCAATGCCAGAAGGACGTAATAGGATAAACATTAAAATAGAAGAGTTCGCTGTCTCACAAATATGTTAGCTTCTAAGTGCCTATACGAAACTGGATGCATTATTATCAAACTCCACAGCCTTTTCTTTTCTCATTCCGATGGAAGCAAGCTTCAAGAACTCGCGCGTTCTAGAAACGTGTTACGAAATGAGCACACAGCAGCATTTAGGATTTACGAGATTGTAGGAAAATAAAATTCCGTGACGCGGTTTTTTTTTTTTTTTTTTTTTTGCGACGCCTTCCCATTCTTTTTTTTCCGTGCAAGCCGCGACCAGCACAATACTGGTTCCTATGTCAAGATTCATGGATGCAGCGTTTGTCAAGATTCATGGATGCAGCGTTTATATTCCTAAGACTGAGTGGAGAAGGAAAATATGTAAGCGAGGTGTGTGTCAGTTGACGGCACTTAAAAAACAAATGGCATTGATAGCACATTCATTGTCAACAGCGCGTGGCCGAACCGTTTTGACATGAGCCGGTAACCGTTATTTTTTTTCCGGTTCAGTTCCGGTTCGGGTTCATCGCGATAACAATATAACGGTTCGGGTTCAGTTCCGGAAAAAAATACCGGTTCGGTTCCGGTTTTCGGTTCGGTTCGGTTCCGGTTCGACACCCTGATATATATATATATATATAAATATATATATATATATATATATATATATATATCTTTGTTTTCAGAATACTCCAACCGCCATCCCGACGTTTATGATAGAGAAAATGGTGAGTTTCTAGTGTTATGCCCAAGACTTGCACAGCCGGCGCGTCACGTTATCCTGCATTATCTGCCGCCTTGCTAGAATCATTAAAAAAAAAGGAATATGTTTCTCGCGATTTTTAATCATTTATGTAGTGACCTAATATTTAAGGTCTTAAAATATTGAGTGTTAATATTTTGTGTCACATGATGTACGTCTTATGTCGGTTTTCCTTTATTTATAAGAACAGAGAATATTTCTGCGATTAACAATGAATTTGCAAAGAGCTTGTGACGCCTGTCTTGCATTCTTGATGCTTTCCATGTAGTTGTCCGCGCACGGAGCATGAAGCCCAGCTTCAAAAACTTACAAAAAAACAATAATTTGTTTATTGAAAAATGGCAATGTTGTAGATACACTAAACGCCAGGAGCGCTAATTGTGACTAAATGACGTAGGATAAACTCGGCTGCAGACATATTTAAAAGCCGCCACGCATAAATATATTCTAGATGTCACAGGTTTTCTTCAGAGAAAAGTTCACTCCTGAGATTATTACAAAATACAGCTGAAACTGAATCACTAGAGTTGCATTAGGTTTACATGAATACTCTTACGCATTATCAAGTTTACTCGTTATACAAAAATGGAATTTATTTTTATTACCATATAAAAGAGAGAGTCAGCAAAGGTCAATAGATTCTATGTTAAGTGTTTAATAGCCTATTACTCCCGAAAACTCCAAGATAGCAGTCTTTCTTGTAGCCATTGGGCTCCGAGACAAGATAGAAAAAAGATAAACATCCACAGAGATAAGCTCCTATGAAAGGCTCTGTAACTTCGACAGTCTCTCTGCAAACTCCACCAAGGTGCGAACTGGCCGTCCTGTAAAGTAAAATAAAATAGATTTATGAAATTTACAACCAACAGAGACAAAGAGGTGAAAAAGGAGCGCGGAGCGAACCAAGAAAGTTGGCCTTACACAAAGTTACATAGATTTTGGTTGTGTTTGCTGCATGTTCCATTTCTTTGCCCTTGTCTTTTTGTGCGCGGTACTGTTCACCAAAAAAGAACAGTTCTTCGTGCCGGAATTTGGATTTTGACTTGCCATTTGTTGTCCTATGTAGCCCCAAATAGTCAAGGAAAATCAAGCTTAATTTTATTTTGCTAACGTCTCGGTATTTTGTTCCTACGTTGCCAAACAAATGACCTAATTAGGCCTCACTGCCAGGTTGTCCGTTTGATAGCTGGCCTTTTTGAGTGTCGGTTCCCAAGGAAATGTCATAAGTAGACTTGAATTTGGGTCTCTCAACTGGCAACCTCGTGCCTAAATAGCCAAGCAAGTGTTATAATTAGGCATCACGTTGGTTGTTTGGTTGATACGTGAAATATCTGGCTTATGTCCCGCAATTCTACAATTGTAAGGCGAATCGGAAAAGAACAGGAAAACTAATTCGGCCCTAACTAACACCTTAGCGCAAAACTTATTAGGTCGACGTTAGCTGTCTAGAATTGCAAAATTTGGTTAAGGCTAGGCGTTTCTCTGGCCTGCCGCCTGGGACGCCTCTAACCGGCCTTGTCAGATGGGAGTCTTAGGCTTAACTGCAAGGAGGGCGAATGCAACAAACGGGACAATAGTAATATTCCCATATCCGCGCGAGAGTTCATCAGGATTGGAATTCATGAATGTAACTAGTGAGAAAACCTATCGACAGATAAAGTATGAACGATTTTTCTACTGTAACAAAACTCGAGGGCTGCGAGAACATGATTCTGTGCATTAGCTTTGTTCGAGTTCGAGCGGCTACCACATGAGTCCGATGGCGAGCTTTGTAGCTCCAGTCTCCACGTCTACTTGTACTACAAATATCAGAGCTAGCGAAAAAAAAAACTTTTGCTCCCATTGATATTCCCATACTCTATGGTAGATCGTAATGCAAACAACCCCCTCCCCCCCCCCCCCCCCCAAAAGAAAAATAAATAAATAAAAATAAATAAATACTGCCCGGCTTAAGCTTTTAGCGCTTCTATCCTAATTTCGCACTGACGCCAGTATATAGATCTTCCTCTGCGGAAGTCGGCTAGTATTTGTGTCCGCGGATCACTAACGGTACGTAACATCGCACGTAAAGCGGCCGGCACATTCGCCGCTGCATATCACAGCCAACCTTAGTAACCAACTTTAATCAATAAGGAATTTTTTTATCCAATGAGCGCATACGATCACATTAGTCTCTATAAGATCACCTAAGAAACAAAAAAGAACATATAAGTTATAAGAAGATTATATAAAGTTTCTAATAACTTCTGATGTGATCTTATATTACTCTTATACGTTTTTATAAGGTTCGTACATACTCTTATATTATATATTTTTATCATATGCGTTTATTGGACAAATAAGTTATTTTTAATATACGACATTTCACTGGGGAATGCACGTATATCGCAGTGCAGTTTGTAGTCGCCCAGACCTGTCATTCCGACGCCAAGATAGGGAACCTCGTCCGTGTTTTGCATGACCCCGGCAATGTCCAAGTGAGCCCAGTGTTCAGCTTTCACGAATTCCTGGATAAACCCGAGACACAATAGAAGATAAGTCCACGGTACGCCAAACGTGGTAGCTATTCAGACCAGTTGAGACCAGGGAAACAAATATTCTTATTTTTAATGAAAGTAGTTAGATCAGTAGCATTTTATTTAACTAAGGTTAATTTGATTTAAACATGATTTATTTCATACTAATCAGATTTTTTTATCTGATTAATCATAATAATTAGATGTACATCCTAAAGCTATAAAACAGTAATGTTTTACACTATTTGTAATTCTCAATATGGCAACTTGATTAATTCGCCGATCACTGATGAAATGTGGATTGAATAATTACAGTAAATGTAAAGTACGGTTTTACTAACAACAATTATTGGCAACCTGCAGTAATAAAAAAATAACCGTTTTTTAGGGAATAACGAGTTTTATTTAATTTTTCTTTCGTGTTCAGGCTTGATTGAATTAGGATATTGCTAGCCTAGTTTTTATTTTTTGCGCACTGAATTTGCTTCGGTAGGATGCTACGTAGGTAATGAAAAAAAAGTGTAAGAGAGCTGAAAGCTACGATATGCTCAGAACACTTGGTTTTCCTTGTGTGCAGTCATATATTTCTTCCTTGATGATTCCTTGATTCTAATACGAGAGCATCAAATGATATAAAAGCATTAATAGTATGTTTTTTGTGGATATATTTTTGGAGGTCCAATTTACATTCAAATCGTCATACTACACCTTTTTGATGTAAGCCACAATTTAAATCACGATTTCAATAATGATTTAGTTATTACTGCTTATCATTCTTCACTCTGGTAGAGGCAGATGTGGATGTTTGGTGCGCTGCCAAAATTCAGCGATGGTATTCTATAACAAGAAAAAGAATCCGTTTGTGGATCCTTACGCAATGCGTTAGCTTGACCCTGGGAAAACGCCACACGCGTCCTCCTTTGGGAAACGCCATAGCTGTCCTCTTTTCTCTTTTGGCTTCCGTTCGCGGATTTCTCATTTGCTTCTTCTGTTTGTTTTTTTTGCGACTTTAAACTTCGTTATGGGCTCAGTGACAGCGTTTCACAAATGAGGACGTGTGTGGCGTTTTCCAAGGGTCATGCTGATGCATTCCCTGACGATCCACGAATGGATATTTCTTTTTTTCCGGGTTCTGTCGCTCGCAGACCCGCGTCGGCTTGCCACTTCTCGCTCCGCATTTCAGCCAGCCGAGCTAGGCCTCCGCTGCCCTGTCTCACTGACCCGGCTTGCACGCTCAGCAGCTGTATCCGCTGCCTCACGCTGCTGCAAGTTCAGACTTGCCCCAGCATTAGCGCGCGCATTGACTTCCACCCGTGACATCTCCTCCCTCTCGCCTTTGACCTACATTACTAACTTCCCCTCTACGAGGTGCGCTTCACTTTCCACTGTTTTGTCCGGAGACAACGACGACAGCTTTTGTCTTTCATGTAGAATATGAATGCTAACACATTATGACTCAAAATTTTAATATTGGCATTCACACAAATTAGCATTAAAGTTGCGTGAGATTTAAATAGAATAATCAAGGATCGTTGCTACCTTCAGAGCTACTGGAAGACCACATCTCTCGGCTTACCCTTCGCATGTGGAGGCTACGTACGACGCATGAATAGATCATTCGAGCTACTACTCCGATACACCTATTTATATTTTACCATACATTGATAAATGGAAAAGGGTACTGAACAAGTAAGCCCACGAGAACACTCGATGAAGATAGGCAATGATATATCGTCGCTGTGCTTTCCCCTTGCGGAGGGCTATAACACGCTTAACTACGTTGATCTGATTGGTTCAGCGTTTGCTTCTTTCCAAGTGATGGATGTGCGAAGTATAAACAAACTCATCTTTGTACGTCCTTGGAACCGGGCCTTGGCTTTCTGAGCATGTAGAGAACATGGAGCTGGCGTTTTTGTGAAACAACAACATTTTCCGGAAAGATGCACAACAGAGTAGAAAGGGAGAGGTGTAATGACAGCAGTGAAAAAGACTCTCTCCTGCGATCACTCTGCTATTAACTCCGAGCTTGAAGAAGTGTGCGTTCGTGTGAAACTAGGATGTTTCATTCTTGTTGGCGTAGGCAACCGACCGCAATCGTTTTCCCTTCACTTCTGCGGCCTTTTGAGCGAATGCACGATCTAAATAATCAACAGCTATTCCAGAAGCCCCATAATCGTGAGTAGAGACTTTAATTATCCGGTGTCAACTGAAGCGAGTGTTCTCGCAGCACGGACGGTCATGATTCGGCTGAGTGTAGGGAGCTTTGTCGTTCTCTCAATCTTGCAACTTTTCTCAGATGGTTCCATATCCTTCGCGTGGTCATTCTGTCCTTGATCTTCTATTTTTGCCTGAGCCCGACTGTATTTCTGTTTGCCACGTTTTATAAACCATTAGTGATAAGAAATCCATTCTAATTAACTCAGAATTCTCTCCTGCTAAGCGTAATGTTGTTAAGAATAAATTCTAAAACTATAGGAAAGCTGATTCCAGTAAACAGCTTTGTACCTTAACTTTTTTTCACGCGACTTTTTGGGTCGCTTTGACACGCGATCTGAAGAAGAGAACTGGGCTGTGCTAAAAAAATATATTTCCTTGTCGAGAAGTTTGTCCCAATATTGTCAATAGGAAAGAATATAACGAGCGCTTGGTTTAATAACTTCCTTTGGCATTCCCTAAATGAAAAAGAACGAAAAACTGTTGTTTTTCCATGGCCAGGAAAAGATATTCTCCTGAGTTCTCGGCTAATACGAGGAAAGTGCAAAAACAAAGAAATAAGCAATAAACAAGAGTAAATAAAAGTTATTTTTCATAATTTGCCCAATATGCAATCAGCAAACGCTCGAACGTTTTGGCAGACGGTCTAGCCTAAATGTCAAAATCATTCTCCCGTTCTGAATGACAGTATTGTAACAACAATTTACCCCTTAGGCTCAGCGGCCATATTTCACTCGTTCTTCAGTTCAGTCTTTACCGAGGAGTCATTTCCTCTACCCTCAGCTTCTCATGATATTAGTACGAGTACGGACTCAATAATACTCACTCCCTGTGGAATTGATAAAATTATTGACCATTTGCGTCTAAATTCTGCTTGCGGGGACAATAAACATTTAGAAACGTTTTTGAAACTAACTACAGGTAACATAACCACTCTTTTGTGCTCACTTTTACAAAAAACTTTCCTAATATTCAAAAAATATCCTATCATTGGAAGTTTGCAAATGTTATTCCCATTTTTACATCAGCTGATCGCAATAACCCGTCCAGCCATAGGCCGATATGTCTTAACAGTATTCCTTGCAAAACGAAGAAGCACGTCAACTATTCTCAAGTTATGGACTATCTGAACGATAACAGCTATCTTTTACCAATCAGCGTGGCTTTAATAAAACCCTTTCATGCGAAAATGAGCTATTGGAATTTGTGACGGACTTGCATGACAGTTTAACGCCGCCTCTACGACCGATGAAAACTTCATCGATTTCGCTAAGGCCTTTGACAGAGTCCCTCATCAATGATAACTGGGTAAACTTTTAATTCTAAACATAAACCGGGATGTCATCAATTGGATTTCTTATTTTATAGCTAATCGCGAACAGTCTGTGTCAATAGACAACACCTCATCTCATCAAATTTCAGCAAAAATCCGGTATGCCACAGGGCAGCTTCCTAGGACCCTTGTTTTTGCTGGTTTGCATTATTGACCTACCTCCATTAATTGAGTTATCGGTGAGACTTTTCGGTAATGCTTGTTTTATATACCTCCGGATTTCCAATCACAATGACTCAAGAATCCTCCAACGAGGCATTTACATTCTGGCGGAATGGTGATTAACATGGCAAACGAATATTAATATTGTGAGAACAAATATTGTATATTTCAGTCGTTCTAAAACATATATTCCATCCTACTCTTACAAATCTGTTGCTATTTCACCCTGTCCCCTCTTCTAAATACCTTTATATCACTTTCACGGACGATCCCTCTTGTTTTTAGGCACTTTTGCCAAGCCCGTCAGGATGTAAAGCTAATGACATACAAAAACCGTCTTTCAATCTAACCTTGAATATGCCAGTAAGATATGGGACCCTCACCAATCTTAACTTATCAATAGGCTACAGTCAATTCAAGACAAGGCAGCCCGATTCATGCATCGTATCCATTTTTTCCAAGGCAGCATCTCCCAAGTTAAGGATCTGTCATACCTAACTTCCTACGATGTATGAAGCAAACTCCCTCGTCTTTTTCTTGCTCATAACACATATCGCAATATGCCATCTTTCATGCTGATATACTGGAAGCCTTCAAAATGCATTTTTCTACGCTATGATCATTCCTTGAATTTTGAGCCAATAATCTGTCGCACTGATTAATTCAAATTTTTCACCACTGCGCGTTTTATTACAAACTGTGACTTCTTAATTGACGATACTGTTAAAGAGCAAAATCCTTCTGTTTTTTGCAAGCAATGTTTAATTGAACTGACCTAAGTAACGAACACTATAGCCTAATTATATTAGTATAAACTACCAGTGCTACGGATCCCTGTATATAGTTTTTCTTCGTGTGTTTTATTATTTTGTGTGTGTACCCGCAATTATTGTTTAATATATATAGTATATTTTTATTGCCGCAACACAGCATTGTTTCCCTCTAATATTGCCGCGCGCGCAGCTGGCCAAGTAGGCAGCGCGCGTGTGGCCCAACGGTTATTGCGCTTGCCTTGCACGCAGAAAGCCAGGGTTCGATTCCTGGGGGAGATGCGTCTTTTTGTTTATTCTTGCAGACTAGTATTCTGGTAAATTCGTGAATCCTGTTGGCTTCTTCGAGGTCCGAATGTTCTACGCGTCGAACTTTCTACGCCGATTATTCCAGAAGACCACGCATGTACTATCGCGGGACAATATGAGCTGCAACAGCGCTCCGGCGGGCGCACGGTACTACCTTCGCCGCCTGTCGCCTTGCTCCGCACACATGGCGCACCCTGAGTCCGAGATATTTTCTCACTTGCGCTCGCTGCGCCACTGCGCTCTTCCGGCTGTCTGCAAGCTAGACGGTAGATGCGACAGCGGGCATGTGTGGTAGGGCGGCGGGGGGAACAAAAAATTACATTTGTCGTTCCCTTTTTGGTATTGATTCACTTTACTCTATCGCGCAAAATCCCGTAGGAAAAACGCTGACTGGTGAAGAAAAAATATTGAAGTGTCTTAAATTTCGACTGTGATTACAGTTTTTGAAAGTCATATCAAAATACGTTGCAGGTTGTTTTTGTTTGATTATAGGTGCATGCACAAAGTGGCACATCGTAAGATATAGGCCAAAATCTGTATGCCAGATTTAGTCCGGCTCCAATGTATTTTTTTTTCTGGTTCACTGATCACAGATGTTCAAAAGCGGTTAGCATACATATTACTAAAAAGGTTTTTAACCTTGATTAGTATGAAAATGTTCCAAAATAGTATTTGTTCATTACTAGGCCCACGTGTTTGTTTCAAGTAAGTTGCTGACAAAACACCAGTTTTTCGCTTACGAGTTCCTAGTCTTAACAAGGTGGGACAAACAGTGATATATTTGTCAAGAGAAGGAGATTGAAACATTATCCAAAAAAATATTTGCAGAAGACATTGTCAGACGCGAAAGATTAATAGTCAGCGTGGAAGTTCAACTGCACTATACAAGAAGATCGGGATGAAGGGGACAGCACTCAGAAGTATGCGTGGTTAACGGCGTCAAACAGTGTGTCGCAACTGTAGCATCAAGTTTTGTTACAATCGGCAGAAGTCCAGTTCAGGGGGTCCTGAGGCGCAATAAAAGTTGCAAAATAATTTAATACCGCGTCATTCTCCCCTGACCCGCGACCGCGGCTCTCATCCTCTCTGGTAAGAAGTCATAAAGCGCGGCCACAAAGTCTGGCTCAGCCCCGAAGCTACTCCCATTCACCTCCCATCGCTTTCCACAATTCGTAGGCAGTGGCGCGATGGAGGGGACGCCGTGACATGGCTACCTTGATGCCCCTTCAGATGTTTTCAATGATATTCAGATCGGCACCTTTTAGGGGCCAAGGCAGCTTCGTCAGGCAGCGCTCCTCGAGGAGATATGAGCGTGACAGCGCATTTTCCACTTCGGCGCTTTCGTGAAATCCACTGAAATGCACGTTAGGTGAAAACGTGAACATCGGGCTAGCAGACGGCCGGAAGAGCGCAGTGGCGCAGTGAGCGTAAGTGATAATTTATCTCGGCCTCAGGGTGCGCCGTGTTTAGGGAGCGATGCGACAGGCGGCGCAGGTAGTACCGTGCATAGGCCGGAGCGCTGTTTCAGCTCATATTGTTCACGATAGTACATAAGGGGCTCCGCGTGGCGAGCCACAATCAGTTTCGCCCCAGGGATCGACTCTGCTGTGACGCCGACTTTGACGCCCGCGAGGCTGTTATTATCTTTTGTACCCTTTTATTTTCTGCACAAGTTCTCCACATTAAACGTTTATTTCTTCCAGTTTATTTTTGTTTTTTGGTCACCACCCGTTACAATATAATGGATTCCACGAGAATTCCCTTTAGGGTAATAAACTTGAGTTTGAACTTGAACAAAACAGTGGTGGTGGCGCGTCGGGCGCACTTTCGGACAGAGTTGGTGGCCGGAGTTTGCCGTGAGAGAACAAACACTCCTCTCTTAAAAAAAAAAAAAAAAAAGCCTGCTTTTTCGTTAAAACGCCGCGAGTGGGGCTTCACGGAAAATGCCGGGAAGGTGTGAAGACCAGTTCCTTGTGATATCTGTCTGCTCGGTTCATTTGAGAACGTGGATGGGTGCCGTGAAAATGAAAACCAGACACCGTCGAACCACGATTGCTTGTCTGAAAAGCACTTTGGTTTGAATTCACGGATACTTTTTTTTTTATTTCTTTGTTTTTTTTTCTAACATTATTACGGAAAAACCGTCAAGCTGTCCGGACCTCCCGCTGACCACATTGCGTGCGCAATTACATTCAAATGGCCGTCTGATCGTTCGAATTGTCGTCTGCTCTTTCAAAATTGTTTAAACTGTCGTCTGGTCCTTCAAACAACACCGGCAAGAAGACTTATCATTGCTGTAAAAAGTGAAGGCCTCAACATAAATTTTAGGTTTGATGGGTTCTTGGGGTAAGTAGGCTGGGTCTAAACAGTGCGAATAAGAAAGTTCTTATCATTTTTATAGCTGGCCATCACGGACGCTTATGCCTGATGCGCGTGGTCTGATTCTGATTGCGATTTTCAGTATCGACGTCGAGCATCGCTGCTGTCGTCCACGCTTATTTTGCTGCCCTAGCGATCGTTGAGACTGAAAAAGCGAGCAGAATCTCACCATGGGAGTCACGCGCACTTCCCCATTCTGCGGCGTGCACGCGACCTGAATCGCCGCATGTTACATTAATCATGTGATGTTTTGGGGTGTGACGAGCCTCGTTAATTTCGCTGATTCCTTTAAAGTAGCCAGACTTTGCTAAGAAGACGTAGAATAAACATTTGCAACGCGAAAAATAACGAGGGGAGTCAAGCCTACGCGACAACATCGCATTCTAATGGTTTGTTGATAGGAAACGTGGCGCGTCTTGCACACACTCAATCACGCATGCGCAACGCCGGTGGCGTCCACTAAGGGCGCTCTATATTTTTTTTTTTTTTTTATTTATGAGTGCGGGTACACTGTAAAAGATTATTTATTTTGTGGTTCAATATAATAAGATTCCTGACAAATGTGAAATTTAGAAATATATCTTAGACAACATATTTTCGACTTAGGTGCAATGGTGTGCATTCGGCACCATAGGGCGGTATATATGCAGCACCAGACTTTTGAAAGGAAGTTCCAAGACGTGAACCTCGCCAACGTTAGGTTGTAGATAGCAGCTCACCTATGTTTTTTTTTGTTTTTTTTTTATTTTTACAGATTGGGCTTTAAGGGGCACCACGTAGAGTTCGAGGTCGTTTTACTTATTGCGCAGCATATGCCATTGGTATTTATTCTTTCAGGACATTAATCTTCGTAAAGAATTTTCGTAAAGAACAGCAATAGATGCTATAAGTTCTTTCCCGTCATGAAACAATGTAAGGCATTCGTCGTCGTTAGCGTAACGTGACACTGTAATGTACCAGAGGTGCGTGGCTACACGATATTAGGTGACATCATCATGTCACCTCATATTGGGCTGTCAGGCAACTTCACGCTGGAATGCTACGTCAAGATATCACTTGACGTCATATCAGAAAAACGAACGTGCACAACCACTCAAATTATTCACTGAGGAACCGTGGCTGACTTGAAGGTCGTGGCCACTTACTCCTTTCCAGCGAGCAAGCTTCAGCTGACCTGCACTCACCTTGAGAAAGGCAGCCGGGGTGCATGCTGAGGCGGCGGGCACAGGCTTGCCTATGTTGTTGAGGTCGGCGAGGGCAGTCTTCATGATGTCCTTGCGGTAAACCTCCAGCAAAGGCATGCGCCAGAGTCGGTCACCACTGGTCATTCCCGCCTATGAGTAGTCGGGAGAGGCAGTTAGGGACGCTACTTGCCATGGCGTGCTACTGACGATTTCATTGCGCTAACACCGCAGAACGTGAAGGTCGTCATAAACCTTGTCGAGCAACATCCCAAGAAATATGTGCCACTTTGTGCTTGCATATCCCTAACTGGTTACGTCAGCACTCATTTAGGAGGTCGTGTATTTAGTATAAAATATTGGTAATAACAGATGATGATTCCGCGTCGAACAAGTTTTCAAGCTACTATAATGTTCAGTAGACAACAATTCTTTCAGAATCTCTTCAATAAAATAACATATGAATTATACTGTTTCTATATAATCATATGTTTTAATTAACAGTACGAGAGTATCTAGGTTATTTAAAGTGAAAAGTTTACTCCTAGGTGTAAAAAATTCACCATAACTTTATTTGTTATTTAAAATCCTCCCCAGTATTACAACATATGCTGTGGTTTCTACTATGTTTGTTACATCCATAAAAATATATTTGGGAGGCATCTCTCTTAAATATTTGTTAAGAATGAAGTTTATACCAGCGGAATTAAGAAATACTATGATATATAAGTCTCTTAGTTTCGCGGCTGTGAGGACATTGTTAACATGCTGAGTACAGTTCACGTTTTCTTAAAGTCACCTGCTTTGGTTCTTGAGACAAATATGCAAATAAAGTGTGTCGGTCCTTGTTCAGCCAGGCGTCAATTATCATTTCAAAAATCTTGATTCTAAAACTAATAAACTAGTACACAAAAACAGCTGGTTTGCAAAATGGCATTTCTTTTTAATTATTCACAAATGTTTCTAGCATATTTTCAGGGATTACGAAGATGCCAGCATATCTGCTGATACGCCTAAATTTGCGATTAGATAGCTCTTGTTACAGTATATAAAAACCTAGTCTAAAGTGAATTGATAATAAATATATGATTGAATGGTGTCAAAGCAAGAGAGGGAAAGGTTTGTTGGCCCCACAATGTTTATCATTATAATGTACAGAAACACTTGTTCTGTACATTGTGTTCTGAAATCAATTTTAAAACTAAACACATCCACAGATTTCGTTTTTGCACCTAGGTTATGCCATCAGGTGCAGACTAAGGAAGGGATGGTCATATTGAATTAACAAAAAATTTGACAAATAACTTTTTTAATTACAGTGTATTGCATGTGCCAATATTGGAAGTGTGAAGGTGGCCATGTTATTAGATTATTTCCGTTTTTAGAATGCATCTCATTAAATGATGGAGATGCGTTCTGCATCTTCATCAATATGAATGTCTAAATTTACCAATTAATCCAGCTAATTACGGATTACAAGTTCGACGCACAAGATATAATGGTTACGACCGAAATATTCCGATGACAAAGGCGTAAGCTGATTGCATTTTTTATTAAAAAAATACTTTTTATTTTAACACAGCATTTCGCGCCCGTCGTTGCAACAGGGAATTGTGGAATGGATTGCAGAAATATGTTTAATATTAATATCACATATCATCTTTTTCGTAACCTTGGCAATCACTGGCAAACTGGAGATACGCCTGTATTTCCCGAATTAATTTTTGCGTCTACTTTTGAAGGGTGGTCGTGCAATATAACCTTTAGCTCAACTGGCATTTCTTACCTTTCAATAGCCCGCTCCAAATGGCAAACAGGATGTACTTTATTGTTTCAAAGTTCCCAGAACATTGATATACTTCCTGGGCGAATTCAATGAATTTGATCTTGTTCTCTTATCGTTATTGTACTTGCTATCTTACATAAATCTATGCCTGTTATAATAAAAAAAATAGCTGAATTCGCGTTCCTTACCGGTTTTTCGACGGCATTTGATGATTTGATTTCATACCATTGAGACCTTTTATCAATATTAAAAACTGTTATTATATTTCTTGACAGGAAGGTGATGTCAGTTGATTGACCGAATTAGTTTTGCATTGTATCAATAATGCGCGCTGTTTTTTTTGTTTTTTTTTTACAAATTTTAGTTGACTTGCTAGGTCACATGTGTGGTTTGTTATGTATTTTCCATCCTATTCATTTATTATTCATCAGCATACTTTCGGGTTGCAAACTTAATATTTACCTGACACTTGTTTAATCTTGAAAGGGATTAAGTTTTCAGAACAGTACTGCCAGTTTTTCTCTTTCAACAGGTCCACATTTTATATTTTATGTAACACTTTCTTGCTCTCGGTTCGCGGTGCTCTCTCATCAACTCCGTCCCGTTGTGGTAGCAGTGCTATGCGAAACGGGCAGTGTCCAACAGGGGCAAGCTTCTGCACTGATATTCGCGGGTTTTTATTATTTCGTTGGCAGGATTATTCCTAAAAAAATGGACCCGTGTGTATCTCGAACCACGGGCTAATTAAAAAAAAAATGGATGTTTTGAATTACAGCATTTCTGATAATTTTAATACAAACACATACATAACCTACTAAGCGTAAGTAAAACATGTGATGAGTTTTACTTAAACCAAAAATTGAGAGCGTCAAATATTCCTGCATTTAGTTTCGACCAAAGCGCATAACCAAGGTGCAAAAACGTATTAACGTACTTGCATCGATTATTTGTTTAAATTGTGTAAAATTTAACTTGGAGCTCCCTGCGTAAAATCCACTAAACTCCTCCCATAAAACTCTCTGTTCGCCACGACTGGTGGTTTTCTTCTGGGCTCCTCTCCACTCACACGCTTTTCAGAACTTGTCTTGCTAAAGTGGAAGGCTTTGTGAGAAGAGCGTGTGCTCATCTTCGAAAACTGCGACGTACTCCAGAGCGCAGTTTCTATAATGGAAGACATAACAAATCTATTTTAAATATATACGGTTAGGTATGGCATAAAATGGGCATTACCCAGCAGATTTTAACCCACAAAAGAAAATGCTGCAAGGCGCATTTTCCTCGGGGCGATTTCAAGCACTCGCACACGTCAGCTCAAAGCGGGCTTCCAATGTAGGTCACCGACGTCCAAAAAAGAAATCATTTCGTGAGAACATTCTGCGCAACATTCTGCGAGAACAGAAAGTGAAGAGGAGGTGGACCAATACTGTGGACATTCACGGCTCTATATCTGCTTCGGCGTAAATATTGCAACAATGAATGTACTCTTTTTAGAAAACTTTTCCTTTCACAGAACTCAAAATATTAGGCAAGAGCCTTCTCATGTTTAACAAATCTTTAAAAAGAAATCGTCTCTTTGTCTTACTCAGCATACCAAACGCAGCGACAAAAAAAAATTAATAAAGATTAAATATGGGATGTGTAAGGCAGTCGAAACTGTGTACACACGTAGAGACCGAGTTGTGCGAAAAACAGCATGCGTAATTTATTAGTTATGAATAACGAGGTCGCGTTGAAGTGATGTGCACCACCTGGGTTCCGAGGGCTCGTTCTTTACCCCATGTAGTGGAATATGATCCCGGTACCTATATCGCATGACACCATAACGAATAGTTTGAAAAGTACCATCTCTATACTGCCGCGGTTCCGTGCACGACAGTTGGATAGTCGTGTTTGTTTAGGCTACAAGAGCGCTCAAGCTTTTGTAATACACCTTGCCACCCGTGGTGGTCACTGTACTCGAAGTGTAGCATCACCGTCTTCATCGCGGAGCGACTGCGGGCTGTCTCCTCGGCGCGCCGTGTTTTTCCTCTCCTTTTCGGTAGTTCTCTGTTGCACTATTTCTCTGGGAAAGTCCGGAGCGCGTGCTTGTTTGACAGAGCAGAGTTCGGCTGTGTGTCTAAATACGTGGTGTTTTACCCCGAGAGTTGTAATAGCGATGCGCTCGAAGATGCCGCTTGGCTGGCACTGGTGGTCTTCTCTGTGAGGATCCGAGCGCAGCGTCAGCGCTCGGTTAACATCCGGCTTCTAGACTTCCGTCTCTACTTTGGAAGTGGAAATAGCTAGGTCCCAGTCATTAAACACAATACGTGCCTAAAAAACAAACAAATAAAAAAAAAACAAGGACGATGGGCATTTTTCAGGTTCGAAACTAATTGCCTATTCGTCTGGGACACACCGCACCCGTCCAGTGCAGTAAACTCTTTCCACTTTAGTACACGAAAAACTGGCGGGGCAAAAAGGAAGCTCCCCACTCCCCTCTAGCCTTCCGTGTACAACGAGCCTTACTGCACCGGTGTGATGCGGGCCCACATGGATTGGCCATAAGGACATAAAAAAGTCATAAGAAAAGGTCAAGTAACCCCCAAGGCCCGCGTGTCGAGCTTCACACCTTGAACTGGCTCATGCAAAGAGAAGGGACTGCCGCAGAGTAGGATTTCAGCAGGTTAAGCTGATCCAAAAGTCACGATCTGGTGATCCATCTGCCCTTTGCTCGTTTCTTGCACATTAATACGGCAGCAGGTTGTTTCATAATGTGTCATGGGTGCGTGCTCATTGCAATGTATGGCACTTGGTCTTTCCAGGCATGAAATAAGTTTTGCGTAGTGTGGGTCTTATTTGAGCAAGGTGTACCTACGAGTTCCTCTTAAAAGAGCTTACGTTGGCCGCAGAAGTGCTTGTTCATTTGTTTAATTATTTATTTGTCTTGAGTCTAGAAACAGCCGAGGTCTTAGACCTGTTACACGCTCACATACAAAAATTATTTTATTAACATTCATATACACTATAATAACACTCACAGAAAGGGCAGAACACTGGTGCAAGTAGATGGGAATGTTTAGCACACTTTTGAATTCTCGCTGACATCCGAAAATGTGAACTCATTGCATTAAATTGCCCCGATTTCGTAAAATGATGGAAAATCAGCACATTTAATTGACGTATTACGTGTTTGGTGGCGACAGTTTCGTCGAAGCACATATATACAAGCACATAAACAAGTCTAGGCCAATGTATTCTGTTATGTACATTATTTTACAGAAATACACAACCTAGAAAACTCCGAAGAGCTACCAGTGTCGGCAGTTTTGCCCGTGTAACATCGACTCCTACCTTATAACGACTGGCGTCCGTACTAACGGTCGCATATAATGCGTGCTAACTTTCTCTGCACATGTTGCAAGCTTTCAGAGCTGAAAACCGCCAGACAGTTTCATGCTATTGAGCCGAACTACATCTTCGAACGTGCAATAAAGGTGTCAAACTTTAGAAAGCATGACGAATTTTTGGAATGACAAGTTTCACACGAAACAAAAAGAATCAAACAAGAACAATAAGTTACACATGAATATTAACGTTAAGGGATGAATTTATCAAAACTAAGGGAACAGTGTAAACGAAATGAGCGTGACCCCCATACCCACAAAAATAAATGTAAGCCACGAGACTCCGCGCGAAGCGAGCCGGCACTCACCTCATGCAGCAAGGTCCAGAGAGCGTCGGAGGAGCAGAAGGCCCCGGCTGCCCCGGCACCCAGTGCCACTATCATAGAACCTGCAACACATGAGATATTACGATGCCGCACACGGATCATTAATGACTAGCTGGTGATGAATCACCACCCTCTGCGGACAGCTCTGGGGACGGCAGTGTTGTGTTTTATCAAAGAGCCTGAAGTGACTTAGAGACAATACGCCGAATAACGTCCTACATATCTATATCGCAGTATTGTGGGGAATATTAACAGGCACTCCAAAAGACGTTGCAATTGTGTAAGTGGCTAAAAAAAACTGCGGTGTCTTGAACCCGTCTTCCACTGGTAGGTTTAGTGCCCGATCCCGTCATTACATGTAAAGTGGTCCCGAAGTTGAAATAACTGACATCACATCACATATGCCGGTCTTGTCAAAATTTCGCGATCCTGTTGATCCTGGCCAAAATTAGGAGCGAACGCAAGTGTTGCTGTGATCGCGGCGACCATGTCTCTTGCTGCAGAAGCCTCAGCAGACTGCCAAGCTATTGAGCGACCTGCAGCAGAACAGGCGTCTGCCATATTAACCACAACATTTGCAACATATAATCTTGCAAATGTTGTGGTTAATATAATCTTGCAGCCTTTCCACTTATGGATCCTGTTATAATTGATTGCTTTGGTGTGCTTAGCATAATAAAAAATTTAAAAGTTTCTTCTTCATCTGGAACTGACGGGATTAATTCTAAATTTCTGAAGAACACTGAAATGCTCTCTTCTGTAATACTGTCTAAACTTTTCTCGCAGTCCCTAGATCTTTGTTTGTTGCCCAGCGATTGGAAGGTGGGTAAGGTGGTACCTTTGTTTAAATCAGGTGATGCTCACTCTCCTCTTAATTACAGGCCTATATCTTTAACTAGTGTCCCGTGTAAAATGTTGGAGCATATCATCTATTCTAACCTAGTTAACTTTCTTGAATCCAACTCATTTTTCACATATCGTCAGCACGGTTTTCGTAAGTCATTCTCATGTGAAACGCAACTGGTTTGTTTCACGAACGATGTTCTCTCTGCGCTAGACAATAAGCTTTCAATCGACTGCATATTTCTTGATTTTTCGAAAGCCTTTGATTTAGTCCCTCACCAACTGCTCTGCTTAAAATTAAAAAAAAAAACTAAACATTGACTCTAACATTCTTGCATGGATCGAAAATTTTCTCTCTAACAGAACACAGTTTGTAACTGCAAACGACTCAGACTCTCTTCCCTGCCCTGTTACTTCGGGTGTGCCGCAAGGTTCCGTCCTCGGCCCCCTTCTTTTCCTTATATACATAAATGACCTCGTTAACAATGTCCAGTCATCCATAAGGTTGTTTGCAGATGATTGTGTCATTTATCGTGTAATCTATTCTGATACTGATACGTCTTTTCTTCAGACTGACCTAAATTCCATTACTAACTGGTGTGACGTCTGGAAAATGCGCCTTAATGCCAGTAAATGTAAAGTAATGAGAATGTCACGGAAAGCTGCCTGTACTAACTTTTCTCAATACAACATTGGTTCTGTTCTTGAGCAGGTGACATCGTACAAGTACCTAGGTGTCCATATAACATCTGACCTCTCCTGGCAAACTCACATTAAATTTATTGCTAACAACGCTAATCGCATGCTAGGTTACTTACGCCGCAACTTCTCAAGGGCTCCTTCATCATTAAAACTACAACTGTACAAGACCCTCGTTAGATCCAAGCTTGAGTATGCGAGTTCGGTGTGGGACCCAGGCCATGCATTTCTAATTAATCAAATTGAATCCGTACAAAATCGTGGCGCACGTTTTATTTTTGTCTAATTTCTCGCGTTTTTCCAGTGTATCATCCATGGAACTAACTTTACATCTTCTGAATCTTTCATTGCGTAGAAAATTATCTCGTTTGTCCTTATTTCACAAAATTTATCATCACAACCAGCATCTAAGTGAAGAGCTTTTTTCTGAACCATCGTATGTATCCCATCGAAATGATCATCACCATAAAGTCAACGTTCCTTTCAGTCGCACGAAGCTCTTTTTTGATTCTTTTATCCCAAGGACTACTAATGACTGGAACCACCTGCCCACCTCCATCGCCACAATCACAGACGCTCCTGCATTCAAGTCTGCCACTGAAAACTATTATGTTAACTAATATGTGTTGAATTCTATTTTGTACTTTTGTTTTTCCCCCACTCCCTTCTGTAATGCCATGTGGCCTTGAAGGTATTGAAATAAATAAATAAATAAATAAATAAATAAACACCGCCAGGATCGTGGCCGGCGGCACCATGACATATTTAGGACGTCATCCGGCGCAAATCGCGGGACCACTTTTTAACACAAAGTAAACACCAACGTTTCTAGATTACCTCAGTTGTGGAACTCCCGCAGAAATGGATACCCCTTACTCAATTCAGTTTACCTTCCGTCGTTCGAAGCGCCATCTAGATTTTCGTTTGCGAACTCTGTTTTTCATAAAGTATGGTGGAACGCCGTCTAGACGTTGCGCTTCGAAACGTACGCATCCCGTAGAACACACTGCAGCTTCCATAGCGGCCGTCCGGCGCATCGAATGACGGGAGGCGAGTCGTGGTGAGTGAGGGGTGGGGGGAGGGGGTACTCTTCGTGCTTGCAGCGTCTAGGAGCAGTTCCGTAACTGAGCTAGTCTAATAATGTTAGTAAACAGAGCCATGGGACATGCGTTCCACGCACCTTTACGCAAGCAAGGCACTTTCCAAGGCTGCTAGGTCGTAGCTAACGCGTACATTTTAGATCGCACATGGAACAAATTAGGATCGTAAACATGCACAGTAATGTGGGCAGAAAGCAGGGCAGGGCAGTGATACTCCAAAAAGTATTTGCGAACACAAATACTGAGATACATGTGTTTAAATTCAAAAATACAGATACTGAGATACATTTGTCTTTTATGCAACCGGATATCCTTATTATACTCTTGCAAAATATGCGAAAATGTATTTCGGAACACAGATACAGAAACTCATAGAAATATATTTGTTCCCGAGCATTTGCTAAGTAGGGAGGGTGTAGTTTGAGGCAAAAACAAATGGTAATTATTGCTTGTGCTCCTCTTTTGTGCGATATTACGCTGTTCCAATTAGCTCGAATTCTTTGCTCATCATTAATGCCGCTATAGAAAACAAGTCGCTCCGGTTGAACCACATAGTTACAGAACGGTGAAGGCTGCGCGCCGTGCTTGCTAAAAAGCGCCTGCCCGAAATGAACCCTGTTTTGACGTGAGGGCGCATCTCAGACTGTCACATTATAGGCTTCTGAGTCACTTATAGTGTGGGGAGATCGGACAACAAGGCCGCACTTTTTCTTCAATCAACTTCTTTAGAGCGGTCTCTCTGATAAATTGGAAAGACTGAAGGGCATTGTGAGAGGAGTTGGTTTTGTTATTCTAGCCAACGTTACTAAAACACTCAGTTGGCAAACTCGCCATCGAAACCTGGGCCGCTGGCGTCCACCGAGACCGAGCTAAATACGACAACAGCGCCACTCTTTATCATTGGTCTGTACTGTGGTCACCTTGAGCTTTTAGAAAGCCTGTTTTTGCGTAAAAACAAACGGAAAAGACTCTTCTTTTATTACACTTATTGAAGTTTGCTACAAAATGAAGGGCGCGTGATGCTTTTAAAATCTTTAGTTCGCAAGGTTTTGCGGCACAATTAATAGTGTTTTAATACAACCATGCCTTAGCAGTGCTTTCAGATAGCGCGTCCCGACCTAGGCGCATATTAACTTCGGCAGTAAGACGCGGTACGTCCGCTGGGGAGACGGGAGTGGCACCCCTGAAACGTCTTCCGCTGTATCTGTTTTGGCGCCAAAATGGCCGATTAAAGCTAAAATAGGCGTCACGTGCAGTTCCTCGAGTGGCCGCTGCGGGAGAAATGGCGGCGTTGTGTTCGCCATTAGCTCGGTGCTCGAGGACAGATCGGGGACACTTTTTCAGAGCAGTCTCTATGGCAGTTCCCTACTGAGTCGTGTATTAATGTCGATTCTAACCGAAAACCTTTTTTTGAAACCACTTCGCTTTAATGTCGGTGACTGAGATGGGTCAAGTCATGGGGAGGGTTTATGTTAAAAATTGCGAAGCATACTTGCACCAAACTGATGCTTTCATATTTTAAATTTATCTTAAAAAGGGCAATAAATGTAACGAGATACCTAAATCTGGCAAAAATATTGCGATACAAGCAATACATCTTAAATGTATTTCATTGCTAAGATACAAATACATTTTTCGAATGTATCTTATTCCAGAGATACAGATACTCGAAAGTATCTCTAAGATACTATATCGATACATTTGTATCGCGATACTGGCCACCCCTGGCAGAAAGAGGGTTATTTTCAAACCTTCTTGTAAATGATCAGATTTCAGATTATAGCAGCCTTTACTTCAGAACCACTAATTAGTCGATGTTAATTATAGCACAAAAGATGTGCCTGTAGTAAGGAAATGTTTAAAATAGGTTAATAATAGTTGTACAGGCATTTTAGGTACTAGATTAATTATGACTCTAATCAACAGAAATGTTTGTCTGAAAACAATGGCTGTACTCCAGATATTCTACTCGAGCAGCCCTTCTGCCCCTTCGAACATTTCTGTTCCAGCAAACGTGCGAGTTGATGTTCAAGCAAAAGGTTATATGGTAGTACTGAGTTAAGTGGGACCACCTATACTATCATGGTTCCACGTGTATTCCATTGAAATAAAAATAGCAATTTTTTTAGATACGCTGGTTATAAATCTATATTTATTCACGATGAAGGTAATATAAAACTACCTATGCTGCACGTCCAGGATAAAGGGAAGTTATTTGTGTCTTTTTTTTTTTTTTTTACTATCTTGAGAACGCAGCTCTAATTTTAACGTCCGAAGCTTGGGGTGCTCTTCAATTCCTAATTTTCTGGGGAATCAACAGGAAGCGAGGGACACACCGGTGAGGGTTGCAATGTCAACCACAGCCTTCGGGTTGAAGTTGGCAGAATAGCAGAGCGCGTCAGCCAGGATCAGACGGCCTTCTGCGTCCGTGTTATCCACCTGCCCAAGAGAAAGACGTGGACAACCCCCAGGCTGTGCCTTGCCAAACACGTATTCTACTATTTCCCACAGCCGGGTATCGGCGGCTGAGTGCGTTACCGTTTCGTAGAAACGAGCACGTGTAGCGACAGCACGTGCTGAAAATCCCTGAGATTCTTGCCTCAATCTTCTCCTATGCTCGTTTAGATGTGAGTAAGCATTTTACCAAAGTGCTGTTGATACCCCTAGTGCGTGATGCACACTCAAGATAGAAGCTGGAGGATGTACTGCACTGGGTAATTGTATTATCTACATCAAATACACGACATGCCCGTTGGAAGTAGATTGGTTTCCGCTGTTTACAAAAACACGTACACCATTATATTTCTCAGAGTTATCGCTCGGCTTGTCCAAAACACCTGAAGACACTGCGCTTCCATAAACATTTTAAAGCTGAAGGTGCATACAAGGTTGGGTAAGTTATTTAATTTTGTGCAGGTATATACTGCATGCTCTTGAGTATCGAATGCACGCTCTGATATGAAAAAAGTCAGCGCGCCTACTTTGTCGTAAAGCCCCGACACAAATAATTCTTCAACTGAAAATAAAATAGTTTTGAATGCATTGCCCTTAAGGCACCTTTGGTCACGTTCTCCCAAAGCAACAACCTGTTGCGCGCGTTACACACGGCACCGAGCAGATAGTCCGTGAACTGCCACTTCAGCCAGCATTCGGCTTTTTTTTTTTTTTTTGTAACGAAAACTGGCGTCCCATCGCTGCTGGGACCATTGCTCTCGTATGACAGTTATGTTACCGATCCTCCAGCTTAACCCTGCCCCGACACCGTTTTTATGTCGACACCAATTTGGTGGTACACGTAGCCCATAAGCGGGGTGGATAATTGATATCAAGAGGTTTTGCATTGTGATTTAAAGCGCATAGCTTTTGCTATAATGATTTATGTTAAAACTTTTCTAAAAAGAGAATTGCCGAAATTGTGTTTTATTTAGTGTTTGTCTAACATTCTATGCTTTCTGAGTGCATTCGTCTTCTTTTTAAATCAAATAACATTAAAGCGAGAAAGATTTCAATAAGGCTGAGCACACACAAAAAGCTACACCAGCAAATCATCATTCAGCTTTATTTTCTACACTCCACCTAGATCGTCAGCTACATAATGTCCTCGGGTCGGCCAGCAAATCCGAACACCAAGGAAACGAGAACAAGAAGAGTAATGTCTTATTAAGAAAAAATCAGAACACAGAAATGTTTTCAATTATAATATATATATATATATATATATATATATATTCCGCTCTCTGATCGGTCAGATTGATAATATATCTGCAATATTTAAAAATACATGTAGTGATGAATATGATGGTTTTCCAGAATATGGTAATTTAATTTTATTAAATAAGAAGGTGTCTAAGTTATTTACCTTTTTTGTATTTATTTTTCACCTGCCACACAAGCTTTCAAAATACATGTGGTCCGGTATGGTGCCGCCGAGCTCGCACAAAGGGAAGTTCCCGCTTCGATAGTAGGTGGCGATATGAAGCGTAGCGTGCATTCGGCGACTGCACGCTCTGTCGAGCCTGGATTCCAGGCTTGAATATATGAGCGCTAATAGCAAACCCTATATATGCTATGCATTAAAACAAAAGTATGACGAGTCGCACCTGGATGGTAGTTCCGTTCATGGCAGTCACCACATCTCCTGGCTTGGTTGCTTTCCCACTTGGCATATTCTCACAGAGAGGGATTAGTCCTGCAGAAGGTGACACTCGTTTATCACGTTCACTTTTTGGGATTATCTTACATACCGGTATCAATGCATCCGCTCAACTCATATAAAAGCGAACATCCAAGGATCATCTAACATAGCAACTATACTGGTACTTTAAGGCGTAATTTACTATAGAAATTGTACATGCTGACGTTTTGTGTAGTGATTGGGAACCGTAAAATGTGTCTGTCGCAGCGCACAGACTCAACAGCAAGGGGCGGGTTACATGAACAATAACTGTTTTATTATAGTTCGTTTGGCCTAAAGTTCGAACAGTGCCGACGCAAGGAGATGATGGGATCATTCAAACATAGTAAAAGCCGTTAGACACTGGGGCTTCTCTGTGCATGATGGGCATTTAAGAACACAGCACATGACGAACACTATGTCACGCAACGCCCGCAGAATCTCCCGCCGTCGTCAGTGTGAGTCGTTGCACGGCTAACAGTGAAGAACTCAATGGGGGGGGGGGGGGGGGGGGGGGGGGCATTAAAGTATGTGGTTCAGACGGGTTAGCCTATTGAAGATCCCCCAGGATTTCTAGAATGCTTTGACCTGCCCTATAAGAATGTTTGAAGGGTTCGAGATGTTCGTCGAAGTTAGCTAAAGCGCGTGACCGTACCCGTCTAGAATTCCTAAAAGGTGTAGATACCCGTCATATTTCTTTGAGAGGAAATTTTCAATGAAATCTAGGCACCAAAAAAGTGTTTTAACGGGTCTGCGGGAAAGATCACGCGACCCTTCACGATATTTGCACGGGGAATCAGCTTGGCCATTTTGCATTATGCTGCCCTATCGAGTCTTGGAAATTGAGGGGGCGCTCCATTTGTCGTGGCCTTGGCTAACGCGGCCTCCTCGCTGTGTCAGTCTGTTCCGTACACGTGATTTACGAGCTAGACAAGAAGCGCCCAAGGACGCCAATTCCTCGCTCACAAGGGAGGGAGGGTGCGCGCGGAAAAGGGGAGGGAGACCCTTTTTCTCTTTGTTTGAAGATAGCCTGTTTTTAGTCGATCGAAGTACACCCTTCGTCAGTAGCTAGTCGCCGGGTATTTTCTCCGTCAATGAGCGCGGACTAAATGCGGAACAACAATCGGACGCTCAGTTTCGACTTCCCGTCCCGTGCGTGGGACCTATCATCTAGAGCAGCGGTGGGTGCGGATCTATAAGAAATCTCAGTGCCCTGCTTTGTGCGCCTCTTAGTCCGGCCGGCCTCAGAAGCATCCAGCGAGCAGAAAAGGCTCCGGAGACGACACTGTTTCTGTGCTCAAAATTTTTCAAAGGTGGCGGATGTTGGTTGCGCGTGCGTGGTTTTCACTAAACGTCCTAGTGACATTCTGTACCTGGCAGTGTGGTGTATCGGCTCGGTTTTAGGAGTTGGACAACCGTACATCTTAAGAATTTACCCAGCGGCATTGTGAGTACTCCACAGGATATCACTGACTCTCTCTCTCTATATATATATATATATTAATTTATTTATTTATTTTTTTTTTGCGACAACGACCTCGGTTGTTTCTATTTGGTCTGATCGCTTTCGTCTTCAACGTCTTGCGCCCGGGTTTCAGCAACTGTTGCTTCTTATCGTCTTTTGAGTTGCAACATGCATGTAAACCAGAATGCCGGAAATAAATTTCGATTAAGGTTTTAACAGTATTTTTCGTCTACATTTGACTGCCATTTGGGCGTTTTTAGTCGATCGAAGGGCACCCTTCTTCAGTTTGAGGGTGAAAGGGGTCCGAAAGGCTGAAGGGACTGACGGCTAGGAGGGGTTTGAAGTGCTGAAGGGGTTTGATGGGCTGAATGCTTTTAAAGAAATGAGAGGGCCACATAACACATCAGGGCTGAAGTGTAATTTTCAATTGGCTAAGTTGTTAGAATTTCACCACGAGCGACTTCAAGTAACTTTTAAGTCTGCAGTATCAAAACAGAGCCTCAGATTCACATCGACAAATGCAAATATAATAACATACTCACACTGATTGTCTAAAAAAATGGCGGATTTTTGTCGCTGCTTTTGAGTTTAAACCAGTGTTCGATCGAGACAAGACCGCGCGAACATTGCTTCTGGGTTAGAAATGTTAATAAACAGGTCTTTGACATTCCCTTCAGTAACAGTCCTCACCTCAACCTAAATTCCGTACTATAGCCCGCAAAGAATATAGGTATAAAAGTTTGAATATTAGGTGATGCAGGCTATCTAGGGGTGAGAATCACGCAAGGATGCATTTTCCGAGAGAGGTCACTATGACAAGGCATGACGGATTTTGTGAATAGTAAATGAAAGCATCGAGATTTCTGTATGATGGAAGCTTCTTGTGGCGCGAAACATAATTTTTCGATGACTTTTGCTTTGGAAATTTGCTTTCGTTCCTTATACGCACCGGCTAAGCACTACTAAAAAACGTTTTTTTTCTTTCTGACAGAAGTTCTTTTTCGTTAACTATACTCATATGCGCACGACAAAATACGGTAATATAATGAGTGAGTTTTATCATTGATGTGTTGCTAACCCTCATCAGGTCGCAAATTTTGGCATTCACACAGAACGTTGATGGCGTGTTTTTAATGACACCTTTACAACATCCTTAAGACCGCAAAAAAAAGCAGGCGTTTTTTTATTTTTTTATTATCGTAACATTTAAGTTAGGCTTGCCTTCGATGTATCCTGCTATAATTTAGTTTGGAATATTCAAGGTTTGCGGGATTTTTTTATTTCTCTTTTAGTTTTGTCTATTTCACACACTACAAGGGCCAAGATCTGTTTGTTTTCACTGTAGATAAAACATAAAAACGAGCAATAACAACAACAAATTTCTGTTATATGGCCATCAAAGTAGTACCGTGTCGAGAACGCGTATTTGGAGCTATCAGATGAGATAGCGCGTTACAACAGCCCCGGGGCTGCACTCACCGACTATATTGGTGGGAACACCGAGCGATGCGATTGCCGAGAAGGCGCCCACGACGCAGGCCCCGCCCCCCATGTCCCCGCGCATGCTGTCCATGTTGACACTCGGCTTCAGCGAGATACCTCCACTGCGTCAGGACAGTGAGGTATCGTCAAGGTCATCGTAATAAAAAATGAAAATATACCTTTCGCGTTCAGGAATATGTTAGATATGATACTCTGTAAATGAAAATTCCACCTTTTTATATTGAGTGGGTGACTTTTGTTTTCCTTTAATGGACCAAAAAGCCATCTACGAGTGCCTCAAACAAAGGGGTGTTTAGCGCGGCGGACGACATCTTCAGATAGAAACGAGGCGAGACTTCCGACAAAACTTTTAAGAGGGAGCTGTTGCCAAAGCTCACAAAAGTGTGACTTGTGGCAACAATAAACGGTTCCATAACACTTGTGTGTTCTTTGTCTTAACCTACTGCAGTGAGGTAGAAAGTAAAGCCACGGAAGTAGCATGTTACACTTCGTGGTAACGGTCACTTAATTTTATGGAAGGATAATTTTAACTGCAATTAGTTGCAATTAAGCCTTGTGAAATTGTTAAGGTATTTTACTATTTTCAGTAACGTTTACACCTCCCCTAGGCCTGACCAACCTGTCGAAGGTGACGCCCTTGCCGACGAGAGCCAGAGGCTGCTGCTCGTCCTTGGCGCCCTCATAGTGCAGCTCCAGAAACACGGGCGCTTCGTCAGAGCCCCTGGTGACACTCAGGAAGGACCCCATCTTCTGCTCCTCGATCCACTTCTTGTCCCTGAGAAAATAGGAAGTGTTCGTGTGCACGTCAACCACAATACAGACGACGAGTCGCAGTGGCACGAGTTCATATATGTGTCCCTAAAATATTAAGCAATGTAAATGCGGTTGACTAAATTTTCTTTCACGAAATTCGAAGGTAGGGGGTGGACAAAGAGACCCCTGGGGCTGACGAGATAATATGAAAAGACACACGTCGCGTCTTGTATGTTTAGTATGTTCATCATTTACAAGTTTGAATGCCTTTTTCTTGTTCCACCGCTTCAGAAAGAAAAAAAAAAAAAGTTCAGTTCTTAAAGTATCAAAATAAATCAGCTGAGTTCGAGGAATACGGCTAGAGTATAACTGCATAAGTTCCGATTCACGAGTCATGTCAATTACTTTTGCTTAAACAGCTAGTTTATATGATTAGTGTAGTCTAGTGTAACCATTCGTCTCAATAATTTAATCTCTTAAGGACTCAGTTGATTAACTTATATATGCCATGCAACACTACCACATATTTCCGCACGCACTGAAGTTCCTAGGTCACGTTGTGAGCAACAGATGTGTTCGTCCTGACCCCATCGCGGCATTTCCACAGCCCATCGACAAGAAGGCCTTCCGAAGATTTCTGAGACTTTGCGCGTTCTACAGGAAGTTTGTCCTATATTTTGCCGGGAGTTTTGTGCCGCTCCATCCCCTCACGAATGACGCCGTGAGCATGAAATGGGGAAGAAAAAAACAATAGGCATTCGGCAAGATAAAGAGCGACGACTCCAGTCGCCACCCATTCTTTGCCACTTCGACAAATCAGCCGAAATAGAAGTTCATACGGACGCCAGCAATAACGGACACGGCGCAGTACTGGTCCAACGACAAGAGTGTACAGAGGGCGGGATCGCCTACGCTAGTCGGACGTTGTCGAACGCGGAAAGAAATTGCTCGACGGCCGAGAAGGAATGTCTTGACGTCCTCTGAACCCATCACAAAATTTCGCCTGTACTTATACGAAGGCTCTTTTCGAATGCTCAACGACCATCACTCGCTGTACTGGTTAGCGAGCCTGAAGAACCTATTGGTACGCCTCGCTCGATGGAGCCTACGACTGCAGGAGTACGATCCTACCGTGGTCTACAGGTCGGGCCAATATCACAGTGACGCCGACTGCCTGTCTGGAGCCCCTGTCGAGTCAGCTACCGGCGGCGCCAAAGACGATGACGACGACGACGATCGCATTTTTGGCGCAGTGGGCGTTAACGGCATGGCTGCGCTATAGCGGGACGACCCTGAGCTTCGCGCACCGATCGACCATTTGGAGGGACGAGGGAGTACGATTTCCCGAGACTCCTCACGTGCGCTGACAACCTTCGCCGTCCTGCACGATATTCTCAACAAAGAGAGCTTTGGGGACAGCAACTCGACATAGCTCCTGGTAATCCCTGCTAGTCTTCGAGAAGAGATCTTCGAAGCCTGCTACGACGACCGGACATCAAGTCACCTTGGCTACAGCATGACTTTAGCAAGAAGTTGAGAGAAGTACCACAGACCCGAGCTCCCGAAGACTGACTCGTTGTACACACGATCGTGCCATGAGTGCCAGCGACGAAAAAAACTGCCGACGATGCGGGAAGGCGTCCTGCAGCCGATCGCGCCCTCGACTGGTTCGTTCCAGTAGATTGAAATTGATATACTTGGACCTTTTCCTTTGTCGACGCCGTGAACCCGTTGGATAATTGTGGGAACTGATTACCTCACCCGGTACGCCGAGAGAAAAGCACTCCCTTCGAGAACCGCGGTAGAAGTGGCCAAGTTCTCCGTCGAGTCCAGCATCCTCCGACACGCCGCTCACCAATTCCTGATTACAAACCGAGGCGCATCGTTCATGGCGCAACTGCAACTGACTCATGGATACACCGTCTGAGCCACACTGACCACCGCTGAACCACGGAGTAACACCCGCTGACCAACGTGATAACAGAGTGATTAAACACAACCATTGCCGACATGATGTCAAGATACGTGGCGTGAACACAAGACGTGGGATGAGGTGTTGCCCTGCGTCATGTTTGCGTACAACACAGCGGTTCCAAAGACCACTGGGATTACACCTTGCTAGCAGGTGCACGGCAGAAAGGTGACGACGATGATCGACGCCATGCTCCTCCACGACCCGACGCACAACGGCGTCGGGTCGTGGAGGCGCATGGCACCCAGCTAGTCCCCCTACGGGCAAAAGAGGTACGCCAGCTAGCCCGCTTCGAATAAAGGACCAACACCGTGTCGACGCTGGGTGATGCAACCGCCATCGTCCCGATGCTGAGTTGCAGCACAGACACAGGGTGAGGTTGTGAACGCCCATTCGTCGCCGCGGCCTCAGCGAGAAACTATTAAAACGCTACTTTGGACCCTACGAATTTATCCGCTGCGTTAGGGACTTGAACAACGAGATGCTCCCCGACGGACCCCGACCATCAGGACGCCGCCAGCCACGAGCCGTAGTCACGTAAAGTGTTTATATAAATCGCCTAAAATACTACAAAGACGTTGAGGTAGACGAGACAGCTTTGACATTTAAGGTGAGCAAGCGCGGTGTTCATAACGCGCTGAACATTTGCTGATGCTGTTCATAGTTCGAAGGACATTACTTTAAATTCATACAGTCCGTGCGGCGTAATCAAGGCTGTCTTCTCGCAATCTCGTTCGTCAACTTCGACCTCCCAGTAGCCGCTCTTCGAGCCTCTTAACGAAAACTATTGGGCGTTGTGCAGCCGATCTAGGGTGTCGTCCATTCAGAGAAGCCAGTAGACATCTCTCTTCGTAACGGCATTTTGTCGACGATAGTTTACGCATGGCCTCCAGTGATCCGTCTTCTTCTTCACCACTACGACTGGTGAGAGCCACGGGCTGCTTGAAGTCTGGGTGATGCTGCCGTTTAGCATTTCTCGCACTTGTTCATGAATTTGCCTCCCTTTACTTTGGGGAGAGCCGGTACGGCGGCCGATGTACAGGAAGCGCACTGTCATATGTAACGATGCGATGCTTCGCACCTGTTGTTTTGCGCACTTTTAACGTAGTCGCAAATCAATCGCTGAATTCGGCAAGGAGGTCGCTGATCTGTGGTCGTTCCGTGGCACTGAGCGTGTGGTTAACGTCTAAATGCGGCGGCGGTGTACTGTACGGCTAAGATGGCGAGGACTCAGCGGAGGTCGGGGTGATCTCGGCGGTGTTCCGGTATTCCTCGACGTGGCCTGCAGTGGCACCTTCCGAGAGGTGGTGCACCTCGTGTCAAACGTTCGTCACGGGGACCACACTGCGTCCACCCTGCAGCTCTCTTACGGCCCTGCGACGAATATTCATCCTTCGAGACTCAGTTGGACGTTTCCTTTCCGAATAATGTCCCCGCAGGCGGCCTCATTACTCACGACGGGCACTAAAATACTCGACCGCGGTGTTAGGTTCATGTGATGCTCCATGACTCGGAAGGCAACTGGCGTCGTTCGGGACACCTCCGAAGGTAGGACGGGCCTTCGCAGCGTCAACCTGTTCGCTCCAGTTCGATCACTGCAGTGTATTTACACAGAAAGTCCAAGTCAAGGTTGACGTCTCTTGCACAGTTCTGAAGGATGAAGAACTTGACTGGACAGGTCTTCCCTAAATTTCGACGTGAACAGTGCACCGCCAACATACGTGATGAGGCATCCTCCTGCGGTGCGTGCGTATTAGCGGGTCGTCCCATGCCATCGTGTTTTGCTGAAGAAGGCGAGAGAGCTTCCCACTCAAAGTGGAGTAATCCGCTCCGGTGTTCACGACTGCCGATCCGTTGTGGCCGTCGATGACAGCGTTAAGGTTGTCGGGTACCGTCACAAAATCGTCGTTCCGATGCTCGTCGTCGCTAGATTTGGGGCCCTTCGACGTACTTGGAGGGTCTTTCCGATCGTCGTCTTCGGCAACTACACATCCGGAAGTGTTGAGCTTAGTTTCCACGACAAGGCAGCTGAGACAGACTCTCTCGGCAGGACCTACGAAGTGACGATGCCGGACGTCGTGATGAAAGCGAACGAGAACCCCGGGGGCAAGCGGGTGTTCGTGACGGCGGGCGATGCAGGTACTCCTTGATGTCTCGCGGCCGTTCTCCGCTCCTCGGGCAGGTGGCGTTCGGTGCGAACCTCGAAGCCCAAGCTGCCGGTAGAGGCATCGCCGAGACACATGGTTGAATTCGGCGCAGTGGTAACACAGCGGTCGTCAGTCAGGCGTCCTCCATGCATCCGTCTTCCTTGGCGTAGGTATCTCTGGGCGGACGCACTGCGGCGCTGTAGTTCCACGTCGAGGTGGCGCCGTATAGACGCAAAGGGTGGCGGTTGTTGAGCAATTGCGCCGAAGCTGAGAGTCGGTCTCTCAGGATCTTGCATGTCGGTGGGAGCCTCCAGCTGAAAAGCTCGTTGTACCTCTTCTCTAACTACTTCGGCGATCTAATTTGAATCTGAAGTTGGGAGGTATATTCTTCCGCTCGTCATGGACGACGTCGCGAATAACCTGGCACAGGTTTTCATAACCCACATCGTTGATGAACGGAGTATCTTAGCCGATCGTGTGCACAAAATTCATCTTACAAAAAAGTTATGCTCAGAAGTGACCGGTAGACGACGTAGCCAGAGACAGGGAGCGCAACAATAAAACAAGCCTTGGCCGCCATCCTAAAAGATCGTTTCAGAAAAAAGAAAAAGAAAAGGACGTCCCATTTACGAAGCAATTTACAAAAATAGTTTCCTAAATGAATACAGGAGGCACCATGCAGGCCACTAAAAGAAAAGCCCGAGAGGGAAAAAATAAGCCCAGACGGTGTGTCTGTCTATGATGTTATCTGTTCGCAAGTAATATTATTAGGGAATTGAGTGATCAGAACGCCGAAACACGAATCACAATGCAAGAACCGCACACATAATAAGCCTCCCACAGCATTTTTTGAGCTGTAAGAAATTCTGGCATTGAATTCAAAAAACGAGAATTATCAGTTATCCCGCTAGTCCACGGTATCGATACCACAAACGGCTCCCTTCACTTAGCTGTGTAACATTATAGTTCGTAAAAATGCCTGATGCATAGGCGTATATTATGAAAAGTGGGCGGAGTATGTCAAGAGGACAATACATCATAGCACTCTGATTGGCGGGTTTTCACGGACGTCAGATTTCCTGGTTTACGGGGGAGGTATAGTTTCAAAAAACATCATAAGTGTGCAGGCGAGCTGGTGAATGTCATTTATGTTGAGTCAACCTGAAACTCGGGTAGAAGAGAAACATCAAAACGGAGAGGAAACAAGTAATAGACTAGAAAGACGTCTTTTCAGACGTCGTCCGGTCTGTTTTGTTCTCTCTTTTACGCTTTGATGATCCTCTTCCACCCCAGTCTCGGGTTAATTCAACGTGGTCAATGTTTATTTCAACACGGCCTCTGTGATTTACGCACTCGCCATTAAGCGGGTGTCACTTTTTATTATTTTATCGGGCAGTTAATCCTGGCAGCCGGTTAATGGCCAGCGCCATAGCAACAAAGGGAAATTTTGCTTGGGAACTCCCCCCCTCCGCCGTAAACCAGGCAGTCAAGGAAAACGGCCCAATGAAAATACCTGAGTTCGCGCTATTGGCTTAGTTCTCAAGCTTTTTCCAGAAAAGGAACAGAAAATTTGCGGCGAGCGCCTATTAAACGTCGCCGAAAAAAGCGCGAAGTCATTGTCGTGATAGACCAATCGTTGCGCTCCGTGAACTTCGGGCCCAACTTTGGGTTTGACGAGTTTAGGGGCCCAGTACGGCGACGGGTAACGAGAAAAAGACGTCGCCAAGAGAGGGTAACTGAAACTGGGTAAGCACCTGGGGATAACCTTGACGCCCTTCTTCTCCAATGTCTCGGCGGCAGCTCCTGCGAACCGCGTCGGCGTCATGTGGTTGGCTGGCGTTTCCATTAGCCACCGCGCAAAATTCTGGGCCTCGGACGTCGTGAGACCGCGCTGCCACCTGACGTTAGAAAGACGTACTGTGAATTTTCCCACTTACACAAGCACCATTTACTTTTTTTGCTTGCTTCACTGACAAAGTTACGTTTCGGAGTCTATTTAGTGCTACAGGCAAAAAAGGTAAAAGGGGTTGAAAAAACTAGGCGCCCTATTTACAAAAAAAAAAACAAAAAACGGATGGTAGTTATACCGCATCTACACAAAACACTGCATAATCTAAAGCAAGTAGAAAGTAGGTATGTGGCCTTCTAGGGTTGGCGCCAAAGCGAAAGATTATCAAAATGCACTTGCCACAAAAAACACGCGCGGCTTTTTTTATCTGTTCATAGGGCATTGTAAATAGTATTCCACTTTCCTGTAAACGATGCTATGTCGGACAGAGTGGAAGGTGTCTAATTTACCGACAGCGAGAGCACGCGAGGTGGTCGAGCACGCGAGGTGCTCGAGGCGTTTACCATGTGGGTTTCGCTGACCACTGTGACAGTCAACCGTCGTTTGCTTTAAGTAAAAAATAATTTGCCTCTTTTCTGATCATTTGATTGTGACTGAACTGTATTCCCCTTGGTGCCGGTGTCCCCTGTCATGAATGAATCATGCTTGATTTTTTCTTTCGTCACCTAACATACCAGAGTTGTGAGTACACGCCTGCCAATATCCTGTTCCTTCCTCATTTTTCCTTGTCTTTTTGCGTGCGATTTTTCATCATGAGAGACAAGGGACTCGTAAGCGGTCTTCAAAAGAAGGAGTCCTTCATTTACAGCCCCCACTGCAGTCCACTCTTTTAAATGTAAAAGAAAAGAAAATGATTGCGTTTACCTTTTTGTTTTTTAGGTTGTACTTTTTAAGGAAACTAAAGGAAAAGCCGGGCCCTTATGCTCCGAGAGTTGAAGTGGGGACCGAGGACCGCGGCAGGGCATGGGAGTAAAAATGGAAAGCAAACGAAAAACGTTCCTCTTTTGAGGCAAGTATTCTAATCAGAAACACGAAAACACACGGAGAACGGTGTTTTTGACTAAAGCTGAGAATCGCAAAGTCACTTCCTTTTGAGCAGTGTCTCCCGTCCCCTCGTGGCGGAGTGTCGAGACTCATCGAAAAAAAGAGGGTGCGGGAGGACTGCCTTTAGTGATCGGCCATCGTGGCGGGGGTTATTTGAATTCTTTTGTGGCACCCCTATTTTTTTTCACTGGCTGATTTTTTATGGAAAAAAGAGGTTCACCAGAGTGTGGCGGTATCATTCATGGTGAGTGTTGAAAGGCAGTTTGAGAAATCTTTGTGCTGTCTCTTCTTCATTTACTTTCTTCTGTTTTGGTTTCCCTTACCTCGGGGTGCTATATATTTGCCAGCTAGCCATCCCCATGACCATTATTTCCGGCCGTTTGACCCCCTTCGACTCCCACCTTGTCTATGAGCGTAAACATTCCTTCACATGTAATGAAGGTGCGATGGCATTTGCGTGGAATACTTCGGCGCCCGCTGATTATTTTACTAACAGGCAGTTCCTACGCATATGCAAAGTCTCCGTTCCTGCGGAGCGAACGGGGAAGGAGAAAGGGAAAACGAGGGGATTGTTAGTGCACTACTCGCCTTCCGTTCCCCCTCAACTTCAAAAGGTGGGAGGCCACCTGTCGCGCACTTATGACGTCACACAAACAGCTGCGCCTCTTTGCTAACAATCTCATCCATTGCCTTGCCACGTTGCAGCCAGCACGAGCAAGTAAGGTTCGTGCAGGGCACCGATATAAAGCTGCTTCTTGAACGTCGTAGACAAGACCAGGGACCCGCATTCGCAGAGTTGCACTTACTTCTGGGACAAGTGTCATAATCTTAGCTGCTGCTCGGCGCTCAAATGTAGTTTAAGAAGTGATCCCTTAACAAGAGTGGGCCGAATACAGCTTAATCTTTTTTCTACATAAAACACTGAAACGGGTGATGTTGAGTATGTAACGTGAAGAGTTCACAATGAGTTTTCTTTCTCCACTTTCGTCGGAACACTTCTTTGAGCGGCACTATCTTTGAGTATCCCCTTGCCCTTTTACGTAGCGGGCCAAACAAACGGCTATCTTGGAAGAGGCTTGGCAATCTTGAGGGGCTCACCTTAGAACTCATATGGATTTTCTCCAACGTGTTATTGCCAGAGTACTCTTCTGCGTTTTTCTGCACCATTAATTGGCTCGCCATATAATTGGCAAAGTGCCAAACTTGAGACAAGAATATCACGTATGAGCCAAGAAAACAGCAGTGAAGCCTAAAGCTCGCAGATGTTTGACAATATAGGCTCGAAGTTGCCATATAAAAAAAACGAACATCATAAGTGAATAACTCTGGGATATATTTAACGACTCTGGCTCATACATGCCAGATGACAGCCAAACTACCAGAACCGAATCCTAGTATTGACACTCTGGCGAATTAGTGCCAGGGTACATAGACTCTGGGCAAAGCGGTACATTTGGATCAACGTTTTTTTGTTTTTTTTTTTGTTTTTTTTTAATGTTTTAAATGATCAATGAAAGGCCAAGTTTGGGCCCGAAGAACTGGGCTACCTGGGGCCCTCTTCAAAAGTTTGGTCGAGTCGTTTGGATTTCTTTCAATCGTGTACAACCAGCGTGATAAGGCTACCAGACGATCGCGATTTCAAATAAAGTGTCTTGAATTCAATCATCAATATGGTGTTTTTGACCGAGGCATATTTCGCCTCATAGCTCTGCTGTAGTTCAGGTAAGCATAGCAACACCGAGCAACTACTAGTTATGAGAATAACTAGGAACTCCCTTCGTCTCATCTGGTCATAAACGTTCAGTTGACTGTACAATATTTTGCTTTGAAATACGCTCGAACCTTGCTGATCGTGGCGCCGGCCGCAAGACGATAATATTTTGATTGCTGGTGCTAGGTGTCTGTCCAATTTTCACAGAGAGTGAAGCTTTAAACTATTAAACTAACTTTTATAACGGGAGACGTCAGTATACTGGGGCATTTATTTTTACATCATATATAAAAAGTAAACAAACATATTTATGCGTTTATGTTAAAAATATATAACAAACGACAAAATAAAATCAGTAGTTGTCTTGACGGCAGGTGTCCAAACATTCACCGCAAATTAATATAACCAGTTGCATATGACCACAAACACTCTTGCCAAAATGTGGCATTGAGGGATTCTACGTCGTTTATTTTTGTAAAAACGAAAAAATGAGGCAATTTGTGCTTTCGACATCAGGAGTATTCTTTTTTTTAATTTATATTATAAATTTATTCTATTAACTGGCCTATGTAAGTGGCATTGTCGCAGAGCTATTTCGCCCTAAATTCCACCCCACGAGTGTAACGCTAGAAAAAATAAGTCAGGGTTATTAAGTAAATGCGCAAGAAAACTTACCTGTCAGTGTCGTGACCTCCAAAAAGGGACAACGAGACGGGTGGCATACGTGACTCTTTTTTCTTTAGGTCTTGGTACACAAAAAGTGCCAAATTGGATCCCTCGGCCGCAGCTGGAACAGTGAATGGTATAATGTGGTGTCAGTGCAAACCCATTAGTCCTCTTTTTGTTTATAAGGAAGAGGAAATAAAAAAGCCATGTTTTTGAAGCACGCGTTTTTTCGTTGGCAACATAGATTTATATTTATGTGCTCCCATGAAGCATTGAGGTTCATGTTTCGCACTGCTAGAAGATAGGCGCACAAAGAAAACTTTATGTAACGATACATACACATTTAGAGGGCCCTGAATTTCGGTGATAGACGGATAGAAAATAATTGTAGTAAGAGAAATGAAACACATGTTCCTTTTTATAAAAAAAAGTAATTTTCCTCCTCCGTTTCTTTTAAAGCTATCACATATACCTCAGAGCAGATTGTTAAATAGGGTGTACGGTATAAGTATCAAAATATCTAGTTCTTGTAACTGATTCTGAAATAGCTTTTGGCGTCTAGCTTTAGCGCCGAAGGAAAAAATAGTAACTGACGTATTATCGACGACATGTGTTCGGCACCAGGTTATCGAGAACAATATATCATGGTTGCTCACCTTCCGGATTGGCGCAGGGATCAACTTCGATGCTGGTGGCGCCGACCGATCTCAAGCTTCGTACCCCAGCTACGAAACCAAATGAAGAAATTTCTCAAAACACGCAAAACATACAAACCTAAGAAAAAAACTCAAAACCACACACTAGCCACATGCCGACTAAATACTAGTTTAATTGTAAATGCACCAGCCGCTTGAGCCCAAAACTCAAAAGGGAATGAGCCTCTAGGTAGTATGTTCACCATAGCACCACAACCTTTCCGGACAAGGCTAAGACGGGAAGAAGCCTGGTGATAAAGATAGCGTGGAGGTCATTCAGAAACCTTTATATCAGACTCCAGTTGTTACTCGCAGGTTACTACTAGAACTCAGGATCTTTGAAAGTCGCCGGCAATTGAAAATTATAGCACACTTATTTGTTTATTTGTTCAAATACAGCCAGTACCAGGAAGCCACGCACAAGGTTTCTGGTAAATGAAATCAAAACAAAGATGTCTACGGAGTTTTCACGTCAACAAAAAAGATAAGCAATAGCCGAAATGAAAAAAAAAAAACTAACATGTGTATTCGCGGCCAGAGTGCATGCTGCAATGGCATTTTACGATGTGAACTTTATTAACCTAGAAAAGAAAAAAAATCGTGTGCATTACGCGCCGAACGCAGCCAGGCCTAGCGATAAAGGAATGGTGAATTCGGGTGGTCGCCTCTCTCCTCTGACCTTGATTGAGCAGAACGCCCCCTTCTCGCCACCAGAGCTACTCGGGATCCCTTTCAGCCGATCACAACTGCTGGATTCAGAGCGCTCAGACATTCTCAGACTAGTCACGGAAGCAAAACTTCCTGAGATTAATAATGCATAAAAAAAAAGAGTTTACATCGTTCCGTAAACGATTAAGTAGAATTTACGTTCGCAACGCGATAGAATAACGGCTGTGACGTAATTGTTTTACGCATAGGCATGCAAATAAAAAGAAAAACTGCAGTATGCCAATTGATTTTTGCAGAACGGAACGAAAGCCAATGCCTGGAAAGAGTTGTAAACTCATCGCATTTTCGACAGTGAATGCGCTGCGATAGCGCTTATACGTACGGCATAGCAGGCTATTATAAACTGGTTAATAAACCGTATTGGGATAACCTCTTCATCTTTCCAATAAACATGTTTTCTTTCTCTAAATCGTATTTGTCTCACGGCAAAATATCGCGCAAACAGGATATACCACAAATCGCCATTTGACACAAATCACATCGCATTATATTTGGCTCTCCTTTCATTTTACAACACAAAACTTAGAACGCACATTTACCAAACATGAAAATTTCTTGAACCGACCACAAAACCCGGTAAAACAGCGTCAAGCTCTGCGAGCTGTTTCTTCGTCGGTTAGGCTTAGCGGATTCACCGCCGTGAGACGAACGATCTCGTGAAAGCACTGGGAATACTTCACACGTCGACTTTTCTATTTCGATCCCACCGATTTCTGTGAAGTGTCGCATGGGTCGAGCCGACACCTCCTTGCATAATGTAAAGACCACCGTTTTTCGTTGAGTGTGGGGTGTGTTTTTTCTAAAGCAGATACACTCTCAACAAGAGGGTTGTCGTGTGGTACTAACTTTGGGGTAGTCAGAAGCCGTCACAGATATCGCTACCCCACCTTCGTTATACTAACAACCCCACGGGTAATCACACGGCACGCAATCAACAGGTTGTCACAGTGAGCACCCCCAAAAGCAACATGGCGGCTGGCAAGCGACGGTGGAGCAGTACGAGTAAGGCCTAGCAAGCTGGACTGCTTTTTGCTAAAATACGATTCTCAAGTGCGTGCGCCCGTTCGCAGCCTTCCGTGCGCACTGAAGCACTCCAAAACGCGCCTCGAACCACGGGCACCGCACGTATTACGAGTAGAGGCGACGATGTGAAAGGAAAGGGAGGGGGGGGGGGGGGGGGGGGGGGGGGGGCAGGGCAGGCAGGCATTCGAGGGGGTGTCCGCGACTGCTTTCGCGCGGCCGGCTGCATTTACTTCGCCACCAGAAAACATTCAAGAAAGGAATCGTATAGCGACAAATGGAATGATATCTTTATTGAACAGAGCGTCTCCTTGCTGTGCTTGCCGCAAGTGATCCGGCGGTTTCGGTTGACAGCGGCGAGGCGAAGCATCACGGATTTAAGCGGCGTCGGTTCCGATCGTTCAAAGCTCCTGCTCACCTGTTAGCATTCGTTATCCACTTCCAAGTCCCTGGTAATCCTCACCGCGTTTGTGCACGCACTTAGCGCTATTCACCGCACGGAACACCCATTCAACTGGCTATGAGACTGATCCCACTGGGACGAGAGGCTGAGAACCGAACCCTTTGGGGCTGCTCTGGCTGCTCCGTAGAGCCATGGAACGCCTCCATGTTTTTCACTCAAATAAGTAGACACATAAACGCGCGACTCCTTGAATTGGGCGGCGCCACGCGCCACCTAACGGACAGGGCTCAAACTAGAAAAAAACGAAACGAGCAGTTTTTGTGTTCAGCGCCTCGCCAGACATTCACGTATGTACATACTCTACTACACACTTCACACATACGCGACATACAGACACCATAGCATTCTACACAGAAACGCGTTCAGACACAGCACAAGGTACTACATGCTACATGAGATATTGACACTCTACATTCCTATACACACGTCTAGTCGACACCGCCACCTTATATACTGCTGTATTTTCTGTGACTGATTAGGATGGTGACCACTGTCATATTTTGCATAAATACGAAAAGACTGTGCAAGGTTTACGCGTATATATTATTTTCCTCTACTGCCCTTAGGAAAGCGCTCGTATCTCTAATGTAATTTATTGCAAAAGTGAACTGCAGGTTATGAATAAATTTGAATAGTCGCTACACGTCACATTTTGATCAGTTTCGTTTTCTCGCTAGCCTACACTTTAAGTATACAGAAGCCTGTTTAATTAATTGTATTAATTATCGAAAACAATTTCTGCAATCACAACTTTCTGAACACGCTGATGCATTTTATTTTCTCTTTTTACATATCCGAATGACTTCAGCGGCGGTTGAGTAAATGTTGAGTACACTGAGCGCGCGCAGGTGATTCTGGCGAAGCCTGTCCGCCGGTCCTCCCCACTGATCTCTATGACAATTGCTGGATCGCGCTTCCCCGCTTGTTCGCTGCAGCGCAAGTGAAGCCACCGGACTTCACTCGCTTGGGATACGATTTGCCGTTTTCGCTAGCCTTTGCTGCGGTTTTCCAGCGTGCTGTGGACACGTTTTCTACTCGTTCGTCGTCATTCGCCGAAGAAGTTTTTTGAAGACTCTGTGTATTGTTGAGACTTGCCGTTGTGAACACGTGGAAAATTTTACGAAAGTGCAGTGTCGCAGGGAAAAGGCACAACGCGTTGAAAGGAAGGGCTGGCGGCGTGTTCAAAGCTTCCTTGGCACGCCGAAGTGCCGTGTCTCTGTGCCTTCGCACGCTTGGATACCGACCAAGAACCGACGCCGTGTGTATGTGTCTAGCGAGTGCAATGTGCGTGAAGCTGTTCGTGCCTCTGGATCAGCGTCTTTTCCCCTCGCGGTTTAGGAACGAGCTTAATCCAGCGTCCACTAGCGACGGAAGATGGGGGGAAGGTACGTCTTTTTTTTGTCCTTAGACGATTTGCACAATACCGTGCACAACAGCTCCTCATCACTGATCAGTGCTGGCTTATTATCAACCTACTTAATTGCACTTTACGTTTGAGCGCGGCTCGCCTAATTGTAATTGGTCAGCAGATTGCACACGACCATATCGGCCGCGCTTCAAAGATTTTCATTCTTGCCGTCTTGTACTTTTGCTTTCGAAAACCCCCCTGGCTCCACAACGTTGCCCTATTCGTGCTCCCACGGAATCTATTAGAGTAGATTTGGGACATAGCCATGGTTAATATAGTACATAAGAACACGTACAGATCTCTCCCTTTTATTGATAGCAACTCACCGGAACAGCTGGACGATCCAGAACTCCGTGGCCGATATATATAAATGATCTAAAGGCTTCTACGCGCGACACACGTTCAGAACTTTGGCGCGGCGTCAATTCTTGACCGGTATCCAAGCGTGCGAAGGCACAAAGATGCATCACTCGGCGTGCCAAGGAAGCTTTGATCACGCCGCGACACCGGCGACACTTGTTTTCGACGAGTTGTACCTTTTGATACGGCTTCACGCACATTGCACTCGCAAAACACATCCACACGGCGTCGATTCTTGGTCGGTATCCAAGCGTGCGAAGGCACAGAGACACGGCACTTCGGCGTGCCAAGGAAGCTTTGAACACGCCGCCAGCCCTTCCTTTCGACGCGTTGTGCCTTTTTCCTGCGACACTGCACTTTCGTAAAATTTTCCACGTGTTCACGACGGCAAGTCTCAACAATACACAGAGTCTTCAAAAAACTTAATCGGCGAATGACGACGAATGAGTAGAAAACGTGTCCACAGCACGCTGGAAAACCGCAGTAAAGGCTAGCGAAAACGGCAAATCGTATCCCAAGCGAGTGAAGTCCGGTGGCTTCTCTTGCGGGAGCGGCAAGCGCGATCCAGCAATTGTCATTGAGATCAGTGGTCCTCCCCGAAACGTTGTTTCAGTTTTCTTCTTTTCGCTACAATTGTTTTTGCTTAAGCGCGTGTCTTTCAAATATGCGTTCTATGCGCTCGCGCTCGCGCCAAGAGGACAGTTCAGAATTGCCGCTTTCGGGCCCGTGCCTTCACCTGCAACGAACGCGAAATACGTATGCTAAATTATGTAAAGCCTGGTTCAGACAGTGGCGTTTGACTGCGTCTGACTGCGTTGCGGCAGCGAGAAACCAGGGCATCCCTGCTGCTTACATCGCGTGCCAATATGATTCCTTGAATTGGATTCCACGCTTCATACGAAGCACAGTCGTGCCGGTGAGTCGCTTTCGGTTCTCGACGCAAAGCTGTCAAACTCATTCAAACGCAAGTGTCTGAACCGGCCTTACCGGTCATTCACACTAGAAGCGGATCCGCGTTTGCAAAGCGGTTGCGAACGCGGTTGTATAAATATCCAGTACGATTGCACGCGCACTCCATGACATCAAGTGCGCGTGCAATTGGACTGGATCTTTATACAACCGCGCTCACAACCGCTTTGCGAATGCGGATCCCCTTCCAGTGTGAATGAGCTGTTGAGCATCAAAGAACGCCGAGAACATAGTTCTCTGCGCTGCACCTGCTGTCGTCTCCAGCAATACTTTTTCTAAAAAAAATTGAAAAGATCTAAAACAGATAGCACGTATATGTTTGCTAATGCCTTATTTTTGGAAATTTCCTTGGAATCTTTTATATAGATAAAAGGAACGCGTGCTGGAAGGCCTGAAACCCTAGTCCCTTTCGAAGTACTCCGCCTTGGATGACACACACTTGTTTGAGCATTTTTTTATCGAGTATGCTCGATGAAATGTGCCAAATGAGCCAGTGAAGGTGAATCATGTATCCCGAGACAGAGAAATAGTGAAACACACGAACATGATCGCAGATATCTGTGTAGGTTCGTCCTGTCCGGCCTGAGTCGTGGTGTGCAATGCTTCATACTTCACTGCACTTGCAAGCGAAAAAATTGGGTACGACAGGAGCGCAAGTTCGGCGGAACGGGCGGAACCGAGGAGGCCATTTGCAACTGAACTGCACGCAGAACTGACCGATCATACCTTTATTGAGTGCACGCTCTTTACTGAACCGCACAATAAAAGACGACAAGAGTATCTCGTCCGACGAACATTCAAGTCAACTCACGCCTGTGCGTAGCTTTCTGTGCTTTTCTAGAGATTTGGTTAAATTCCTCGAGCACAACGCCAGCTGCCAGCTGTTGTTTGCTGTTGTACATGGTAAAACCCGCGACGGAACCAGAAAATACAACCGCGATACTTTTTATCTGCCTCGGGTTTTAGTAGGTGCGTACCAATGTTGCCTGTACTTGTTTGTTTTCTGCCAGTTTAGGCGAAATGAGCCACACGCTTGTTTCGAGCGGTTTAAATTTGGATAAATAATAACCAACGCACAAAGAAAACAAGTTTTAAGTACTTTTTGAGATTTTTGAAGTGACTTTTACTATTAAACGACTGCATGCACTTGAATGTTCAATTCAAGAGTTTATAAAACGTGACTACCCCATGCTTGTCACCTTCCAACAGGGTGCTAACTCTCAATGGCTCGAGCCCAGTGGGTAGTTAGGTAAGCCTGTGGGGTAGTTAGAGCCGTCAAAACGCACGATGACTGGGGGGGGGGGGGGTGCTCACTTTTTCTTAGAGTGTAGGCCGGCTAAGTATTCCCATTTATTGATGAACACAAGACCGAGTTTGAACAAAAAAAAAAAAAAAGATAAGCCAAACGGAAGTTTCTTAATGTTTGATCGAGAAGGAAAAACAAAGCAAGCAGAAGGAGCTTAGTTGCATTTTCTATACCCCTTCGACCTGAACTTTTGTTAAGCCTACCCAACTTCTTTTCTGTCTTCGTGTGTCTGTGAATGGAGCGCCGGCTGCTTCAAGCAAATCGGAGGGGTGGTGCGAGACACATCACCGCTCTCTTTAGAATAAAATCGTTTGTACCAAAATGTGTCACGTGACTAGCTCTTTCGCGCTGATGGAATCACTCTGGTCATAGCCTTCGCCGCCTGCCAAGTTAAGGATATTGATATAGGGGCCACGTAACATCGGTTTCCGAGATGCCCTCTTCAGTGTTCTGTTGCTTTGGCGCACGCCAGACGAGCCGTGGGTTTCCATCGTAAACGGCAGGAATATATCCAGGCCAACTTTTTCGCAGTGCAGTTCTCTTTGTTCTAGTCATTGGAATGCTTGTGCTGTGTTTGTTGGACGCGCTTCGACAAAGTACTGCTTATCGACGACAGCGAGGATTTTGTTGAATGTGGGAGGCCTTCTTCTTTCAAGACTTTGTGTTTGCATTGGTGTATGCTGTCTTAGTCGGATAAGGCATCTATCACTAATTACATCAGATTAATGTTTATTTATAATTACACTGGAAGCGTACTTGTGAGAGTAGTCCTGCTGGCGTCACATTTATAAGCTTAAGTAGGCCATTCTAATAACTTCAATACCCCCGACAACGATACAATATATGCGCAAAGGCAAGTGGGGTATAAGGTATTGTCATCGGAGTCATCGGAACGATCTCCTAAACCTCTCTACTCTCCACGGTCGTTTGTGTTTGTTTTATGAATTTTAATCGGCATGAAGACTGCGAAAATTTATTGAATACAGTACAAGCTGTGTTTTGTGGCAGTGGTTTAATAAACTCGGGTGAACTGTCGAAAACGATACCGTTTGTTTGTACAGGAGCGCAAGCCGTGCCTTATAAAGGCAATTAAAGTGCTTGCCGATACTGCCGATAGGGCCGATACAAAGCGAGCGCATACCCGAAGTCCGGCCGATACGGTGCATATGCAAATCTGACATCTGGCCGATGCGCGGCCGACACTCCGAACTAGGCGGTATTCGCACGATATTCCGGCGATACTAGGCCGGCGGCGGAACGGCGATACCCAAATACCTGCCGGATGTCGGGTTGTGGTGAAAAACCGCACGTTCGGACGATACTGGCGCCGGTTTTTGAACGAAATTGCCACGACACTGGCCAACTATCGTCGTGCTGCTTGGGTTTGTCCAGGCGCGCCAATTTCGAGCTTGTTTTAAGTATCAAAGATTGATTGCGGACACCCTAAGCAAAAATAAATTAACCTTCAAAGAAACCCTCACCGGCGACGGCACCACGAACGCTTTCAGCCACCTCGTCGAGGTCATGGAGTTTTGCTCCTTCGGGTTTCCTGGGTCCGAGATGGACTACGGAGGTGAACGGGTACTTCTGCGATGCAGACAAGACAACAACCGTCAGACATTTTTTGTGTTTTTGTTTTTACAAACTAGTTTATCATTGAATGCGTTCACTTCATGCGTACCCGTCAAAATGTGACTTCTCTAAGGATAAAAGGAACGGCTAAATGGAATGCGAATCTTAAGGCCTGTTCACAGCAGAGATGGCAGTAATGACATTAGTGTAATGGAATTACAGTAATTAAATTACTTTCTGGAATAATGAGTAATTCAATGAATTACTTCTCTAGGCTAGTGATTTAGTAAAGTAATGAATTACTTTCAAGCAATAATTTCGAGAAAATTACTCATTACTTTTGAAATTACTTTTCTCCAAAATAGGAAAGTTCGTTTGCAAGCTTTAAAAAAAGAAGAGAAAAATTATTTTGCATGATGACATGCTGTGAAAGAGCATCAGAGGAAATAAACGGCGGCCACCATAGCGCCCAGCCTCTTACGAAGAGCTGGACAGATGCACAAAGGAGGGCTGGAAAGGCGAAGGAGAAAAGCTTACGTGTAGACATCGCTGGAAGGCCACGGCTTACGAACTCCAGGCACGACAGATTCGCGGCGTCGCGTCATAACGACGATACTATAGTTCGTTCATCCCTAAGCTGACAGTGCGGTGGGAGCTGCAAACTAACCAGAACTAATCAAACACCTTCCTTTAATCACCTGTCCCGTCGCTTTCTCTGCACGTGAGTATGAACGACTGCGTGGTTATGTGGCGAACGATGGACATGTGACTGCTCCAACAAACACGTAGCTTTCACCGCTCATCCCTAAGCTGACAGCTCGCAGCTGAGGGATGAACGTCTCATAGCCTACAAGGCGACCGTCACATCACCAATCAGTTAGGCATGATTTGAAACCTGCGAGGACAAGACAAACAGATCCCCATTCTTGTACCTTCGTCAAGCGAGGTCAAACCTTAAGCTTCGACCATTGTGAAGATCAAACAACCGGAGTAACTGGTTAATTGCAAATGCCTTGTCGAAGCCCCGGAACGTTTCATGCGTCCTCGAGCGAAGCAGGTGACGCTCGCGGTATGCATCGCTGCCTTCCCTTGGGACGATTATTCGGGAATAAGCCTCCTAGCAACTATCGCCCCCCATTTGTTGGGAAATGATCCTTGAAAGGAATGACAAGTGGGTCAACTATACTCGGCGACAACATTTTTTGGCAATGCAGTGAAAGGTACAGGCACGCGTTCCCTCTCCCATTTTGAGCGCTGAATAAAGCTTTGCGCGGGCTCTCCTCATCTCCACTACCTTGCCAAGAAAAGTTGTCACCGAGTAGTGCTCTTGGAATAATAGAATTAGATTCAGTCCGAGGCGGAAGGGAAACGTTTCACATGACAGCTCCTTATAAGAACAAGCTGCCATTGCCCGACTTAACAACCCGACACGGACTACACTTCTAAATCAGGAAAACGGAAACATATCACCCTTTTAGTAGGAACCTTCACCGTTGAATGGACGGCGAAACCGGTGAGTCGACTGTCTTTCTGAGTCACATCTAAAGAAGCTATTCATCATGTTTAACAGTTATGCCGTGTGCGCCGCAAAACCACTGTTCAATATGGTTCACTTTGAGGCACATAAGGGTGTTGCGGTGTAAAGAGAAATATCTGCGTTTTGGCACATATAGACCAACTCAGCTGTTTGACGTCACATCATTGCGGTGGCGCTGCTGACGGCACTGCGCGTGCGCAGCACCTCGCTTCTCCCGGATCTGGTTCCTGCACACGCGCACTGTGGGGGCAAACGAGGGCTTGTTTTGTAAACACTGTGTTGGTGTATACGGTAAATAAATTGAGCACGAATTACTGCCTTAAGGTATTCAAAAGTAATGTCAAAGTAATTTCAAAGGAATTTCATTACTTTTGGAAAGTAATTGAAATGTAATGTCATTACTTTTAGTCTGCAGTAATTTGTAATGTAATTTCATTACATTTTTGCAGTTTTCAGAAAAGTAATTAGTAATGCAATTTAATTACTTTTTGAAAGTAATTTTGCCATCTCTGGTTCACAGACACATCCATCACAACACTAACCCAGCGCTGTTTAGAAACAACTTGAGCGCCTTGGTATTGCCGGGCTGGTTGTCCCTCCAGACTGGAGGGGACTCTGAATTCTGGTAGCCAAGTTGCTATTTGACCGACGACTCTGCCAGCCGTTTGTGAGTTCTTCACATAGTTATGCATCATTATCTCCTCCGAAGTGACAATGGATAGGTTTAACAACACGCAACGTCACGCGTTCCGTCAAATATTAATTTGCTTTCAGCGCCGGTCAGAAGGAAAGAAGACAAATGTTCATTACGGTCAACGAAAATCGGCACTTGCCGTTCGTAAAGATTTCACCACACTAGCAAAGTTCAGCCAGCAAGCAACTTTGAGGGACTTTAGACAGAGCCTTGACCTCGCGCTACCTAGGCGCGGTATCAGCGATCCGCTGGATGTAACCTCGCCTTTTCGAACGTGCAAACACATTGCAGTGCAAATGGTCTGCTGAATTCATAGAGAGAGAGAGCGCGCCGATGCAGTGTTGGTTTGTGCCATCTCAGCGCTTCACGGGAAATGTGATTTGCGCCACACGGTGATTAGAAATACTTGGAAGTTGGCAACACTTTTTTTTTGTGTCGGACCTGTATGCATAGAACGACATGCAACCGAAAAATACATTAAATGTTTGAAGCGGTCCCTTGGAAATCCGTTTTCAGTTATTTCTACGAGGTTCAACTTACTTTATGTTTACGGGAACTCTTTCGAAGCCCAAAGGATAAACGACGGGATACCCCTAATGCGGTTGAGTTGTCTTGCTATCGTGAAACACGAGGCAGTTTTGTTACCACAAACCCCCCTGCTTTCGTTTATGTCTACAACTTATTGAAGGTTTTAGGAAAATATATATCCAATGTAAGACTGCGAAGATTCTGGGCCTACTTTTAGGTCAAGTGAATTCTGAGCTATTGGGATTATGAAGCAGAAAACCCATAGTTTGGTTATTACTGCTATCCCGTCAAGCTGGGAGGCATTTCCTAAAATCCTGCATTGTGCGTCTAACTGAACCAAGGTTCAGCAATTTTACTTGGAGCTATCTAACGCCTTTATTTTATATACAGGGTGAAACAAGGAGACGGCAGGCTCTTTAAATCGACCGCAAAATTCGGTTTCTTAACCTATCACGCTACGACTTTGTGCAGCGTTGCCCACAGATGGTGCATTTTTTTTTGTTGTAAAATTTGCAAAGAGCGAACTTACCTGAGGAAAAAGTAAAGAAAGAAAAATGCTTAGCTCCTATGGAAACTCAGCGACGCCACCGGTCTGCAAACAACACGGCGCCGTTTCGCACGGGAGACAAGAGATGGCGCAAGCGGTCGCGACGCCAACTGCCGCCAACGAACGAGCAGACGACGCCGAGAGCCGGCGTATTTAGCAGACAAGGAACTGCAGTTCCTTGTTGTTACCGAGCCTGTTTTTGTTTCTGCGACTGCCGCCGCCTGCGGAACGCGCACCGCTTTTGAGTCGAACAGATCGTGTGCTAAGACGCCGGGTCTCGGCGCCGTATGCTCGTTCGTTGGCGGCGTTCGTTGCGCCATCTCTTGTGTCCCGTGCGAGACGGAGCTGTATTGTTTGAAGACCGGTGGCGCCGCTGCGTTTCCATTGCAGCTAAACCTTTTTCTTTCTTTACTTGTTCCTCATTTAAATTTGCTCTTTGCAAATTTAAAAAAAAAGCACCAACTGTGGGCAACGCTGGACAAAGTCGTAGCGTGATAGGTTAAGAAACCGAAGTTTGCGGTCGATTTAAAGAGCCTGCCGTCTCCTTGTTTCACCCTGTATATTAAATCGGTAATACTTACTAATTATGTTTCGTTATTCGTCTTTGAATTCATCCAGTGCGGCAAAGGTGGAAAGTGAGCTTGTTGACCCTTTTAAGGCTTACCTCTAGATAGCTTTTACTTGTAGAATATAATTGGAGGTCCGTCATTTAAGTGCGTTAGGCAGAAAAAAGATATCGATTCGAATAAAGTACCAGTCAGATAGCTTTTGCGCGGCGTCATGAGATTTACTTGTATAAAGCCAAAATTGCAGAAAGCTTCAAAATAGTATATGCCTCAGATTCGCAGCAGGGCATTGATTATAGCTCCCACTGATATTTTTCGAGTTTACTTTCTTTGAGCTCACGTCCACTATGCGATAAACACATATTCTTGTAATAAAAAAATTATACATTAAAAATTACCAGAACAGGAACGTCGCCTACACTACAATAATAGTAGCAACTAATCGCTTTTAAGGAAGTAAAAAAAGATACCCCCAAAATTACTGTTACCCGGTTCATGAATAATAAAAAAAAAAAAAAAAACTCTTCAATACAATTTTTCTATTTCTTCATTTTAATGGTCTTGATTTTCTTTTGCCAGTCATATCGTCTGCAGAACGCACCAGCTTATTCTCAAAGCTTTCCCCTTTCGAGTGTTGCGTCTCTGTACGCAGAAAACATATGGTTTTTATTCTTGTGTACTCGAATGTCGGCAATTCATGGCATCTTCTGTCGAAGATGCCAAAGAAGAGTTCTTTGGCAGCGGCAGCAGCGAGCTGTTCGGAGGGCTTATTATCCCACTCTGTTCACAGATACCTTCACGATCCTGCCCCAGCCCCTAACGCACCATCATCGTCAGGGGTGACCTTCCACGTGCCGCATCAAGATCAAGACCGGTCCACGTTTCGACCGAGACCATCAGCGCCACCACCGCAAACAGCCGAAAAGGAGCCTTGAACCAGCGGCCAGTTCTTTGGCAGCGGCGGCAGCGAGCTGTTCGGAGGGCTTATCATCCCACTCTGTTCACAGGTTGTAAGCAAACGTTCTTTATTTTTGTATCTTGCATGCCTAATTCTGTATGTTGCGCCATATCGCTGACGCTGCTGCCATTTAGCGTGCTGTTTGCTTAACCGTTTGTGCAATGACTGCTGATTTTGGTAAACTG